AATAGTACGCTCGGCATCTAACTATGATATAGTAAAGGTCCAACTGCTTTTACAGTTGAGACAACATGGCACAAATCCAGCCGATGCCGGTCCCATCTATTCAAAAAGGGTGCGTTCTGCTCTATTTTCTGAGGGGCTTGTACTAATAGCCACATAGGGTATGGAAATTCTGGCAAAATATGGTGTCGATGGAGAATCTGTAGACATCCGACGAGCTGCCTTACGCTGTGTTGCAAATGCTCTTCTATTGGATCCCAAGATGCGTCAGCTATTCGCAGATACTGGCCATGGCGGTAAAATAGCAGAGAAACTCAAGGTATGTCTTTCGCAACTATGATCTTACGGAAGCTAACAATTCAGTGCGACTCCTCGGAGGATGAAATGGTCATCAGCCGGATATTATTTCTATCCACATACGACACGACAATGGACTTTGACGATCTTGTGAATAAACATGGACTGGGTGATAATGTCAACTATGTAATAATTATCTGCTCCATGGTCTGTTGTCATTACTGACCAGCTCTATAGCAAATTGTTCGACATGCTAAGCAGTTCCCAAAATCACTCAAAAAGCCTCTACCTCAGATTGACGAGCTCGCTCTTATCGACACACTGAAGCTCATTTTCAACGTGTCCAAGATATATCCGGACTTGTCTGCAACATTCGCGCCCTCAATTCCCCATATATTTAAGATGATTAGTCGTATTGAAATCCCTGCTAAGCCACTGGATGGTCTGCTTAGCTACCTCCTCAACTGCTTGTCTACTCTTGACCTTGAAAACAAGAAAGGCAAGCCTTTTGACAGCAACCCACTGTTCCCTACATTCAATCAGAACTGCAATGTTGACAAGCTGATCAATATCTTGGACCATGCCACGTCATTATACAACCCTGAGGAGCTTGAGACCAAGGCTATCCCACTTCTTCACTCGCTCATTACCATTCACGAACTGGCACCGGACGGGCCCCGTAAATACATGCAGTGGCTACTCCTGCCAGAGGATAACGATAGGAACCAGCCTATCGGACAATCCGACACGCTTTCTTCCAAGTTACTGAAGCTGTCTACCGCGCCATACCCGAATCTGAAAACCGCTATTTCGGAGCTTATGTTTGTGCTCTCCGGAAAGAACGCTGAAAATCTTACGAAGAATATCGGATACGGATTCGCTGCAGGTCTACTCGCCACCCGTGGCATGGAAATCCCGAAGACTGCCGGAGAGGCGTTCGCCACAGAAAGGCTCGACCCTGAGATTAACCCCATCACCGGTCAAAGATGGGCCGCAGAGAAACAGGATACGGGTCCACCTATGTCCCAGGAAGAGAAGGAGAGAGAGGCCGAGCGACTGTTTGTGCTTTTTGAGAGGTAGGTCTATCATATTTCTCATACGGGCAAATGCTAACCCTGACTAGGGCCAGAGCCAACGGTATCCTCAAGGTGGAGAATCCCGTCGCGCAGGCTGTCCGTGAGGGAAGGTTCGAAGAATTACCTGATTCAGATAGTGACTAAATGATTTGATTCTTGTGTTGTACTATAATTTTAGGCTTAATAAAAGAGAGAGAGAGATGCATTATACCCGATTGCAACTAATAGAACAGTCAAACGTGACACTGAAAGTGACAGGATTTCCAGCAAAAGACCTGGTCATTTCCGCTTGGTCCGTTGACACTCAACCCCTTCCGCAGGGGACAACCTTGATTCTTCCTCCAGCATGCACCTCTTTTATTTTCATACTCTCGCCACTCCATCCCTGGGCCATAAATATCCCACACAATGAGACAACAACCTCTAGAATCTTAACATCGTTACTCTTTTCTCAATCGCCCGCACCTAAGCCTGGACAATCAATCGAAAAATGGCTACGATATCCCTCAGTGTATCGAGCTTTGAACAAGCCAGGGCTGATCCGGCTTAAATATGTAATTGAAACTTTAAAATGATTTTCACGAGATGGTCTAAAGCAAAGTATACCAATATAGAGTTTTTTTTTGTTTCGTGTTAAGGCTGCAACTAATGAAGCTTCGGGTATACCTGTGGTTCATGCCCAATGGTTGAGAGGGAGATCTGCAGTCTTTCCAACCAGAATTAGTACATCGATATATGAGGAGGGTAAGCACGCTCTTCTTTATGTACAGATGCGAATATTGAAACCAGAGAACTAACATATATAAACGTGGATTACTCAAGCATCATACAATTCTCGGCATAAACAGATGGGTTGCCACGATTCCCCCACCAAGAGTCCAAACTCATGCACATCATACGAAACGGAACCGGGGTGCCCACCAAGCAAGGACCCGACAAGACAAGGAATCTCGTCTCAAGTGGACACCCTGAAGAGCCAGTGAACGCGACCCACGTGGCATAGAAACCTGAATTAATGCCATAAGTTTTGCCCCTCTGCTAGCTCTCAAAGATTGTGATCGAAAAGAAAAAAAAAAAAAAAAAGTCCACAGCACATCCCGTGGGTAGCAAAAATGACATAGTTTTCTGACACCATTCTACGACCATACCTGAAATAGAAATCGTTTAAGTCCTCCCGATGGGCTGGAAAATAATCTAACCTGATCTTATCATAATATGGCGTCTGAAAACCCCGGGCCCAAGAGCAAATTTGAGGTTGCGCTTTTTCTGGCTGCTAGTAAGGGGTATGAGTCGATTGTGCAACTGTTGCTCGGCACCCCTGGTGTGGCACTGGATTGTAAGGATGAAGATGGTCGAAGTGCGCTTTCTTGGGCCGCAGAAGAGGGTCATGAGAAAGTAGTTCAGCTCCTGATGGCGAGCGGGAATGTTGATGTTAACGCGAGGGATACCAAGCTCGGCCAGACTCCTCTTTGCTGGGCAGTTAAGAACGGACATGAAGGAGTGGTGAGCCAACTTCTGGCCCGCAGTGAAGTCGATCCCAATATCCCCGATTTGAATGGTAACACGCCATTGTACTGGGCTGCCGAGAAGGGAAAGCCGACGATAATGGCGTTGTTGCTGAAGAGGAACGCCGACCCTGGAATCAAAGATGCTAATGGCCGGACGCCATTGCTCTGGGCTGCGGATAAAGGCCATGTTGAAGTTGTCATGTTGCTCCTTGGCTCGGGTAGAGTCAATGTCGATGATGCAGATGCTGCTGGCCGTACGCCCTTGTGGTGGGCTGCTCGAAATGGACACTTGCCAGTTGTGCAATTGTTAGTGCGACAAAGTGCCAACTTGGAAGCGCATCCTCTTATCGACAGTGAAACGCAAGGACCGCATGGTACACCATTGTATCAGGCTGTGCGCCAAGGACATATTGAGGTGGTCAGGTATTTGGTGAGAAAAGGCGCGGATAAGAACACACATTCAGGGGAGCTTGGCCTGCCATTGGTGCTAACACTAGTCATGTACGATAGAAGCAAACGCAGTATGATGAAGATGCTGCAGCTTTTACTGAAGAAAGGTGCAGATGTCAATGTGAAGGATAAGTCCGGTCAGACAAGCTTACATATAGCGGCCAAGAACGGTGATGCTGAATTGGCTACTCTCCTCCTGAATATGGGCGCAGAAGTGAATGAGCTGGACAAAGAGGGCAAGACACCCCTGCATCATGCCGTGCGATATGAGCATGATAGTATTGCAGAATTACTACTCTCGAGTGGCGCTGAACCTGACGCACAAGACGACCTTGGCGATACACCCCTCCATATTGCAGCATCCGGGATTTCCAGAAGCATGGTAGCCTTACTACTAGAGAGCACAATGGATATCAATGTGACAAATTATTCTGGGGAGACCCCCCTGCACAAGGCTGCCGAGCGCGGCCACCGCAAAATGGTGGACTTTCTGATCCAAAGCGGAGCGGATGTTGACCTGCAGGACGACTATGGGCGAACGGCTCTGCATAGGGCAGTATCTTCCAAAGGCCATGCAATGAGACTACTCGTGAATAGGAACGCAGACGTCTTTGCTAGGGATATGTTCGGACAGACTGCGCTTCATATGGCGGCCAAGGCCGGGCTCAGGAACGACGTGTATTTCCTTCTTGGTCACGGAGCCTCAGCAGATGATAAAGACGACAGTGGACAGACAGCACGAGACCTAGCCGCTAAGGCAGAGGAGACCGATGTGGTAAAGCTTTTAAGCTCTATGACCGTGTCAGACTCCGATTGATTATATCAAAATTTGATGCAGCCTATGAGATACTTGATGAGCTTATGTAAAAGGCAGGGGGGATGGTGCAGCTTACTACTCTTGCTTTTGCCTCCTGTACATGACCATTCTATTAGTTTGTGATTCTACAGAAGAAACAATTGACAATATCTGTCTCGCAGTACAATCATGTATTGAACTTTCCCCAAATCTTCGATCTTGCTGGTATATCTCCCAAGATTTTGCGTTTCTCTTGTAAACATACACTTTGCCATTGCCCTTAACTGAGAGAACTTGCATTTGTAGCAAAATTATAGTGTTACAGGTATAATAGGGACATACTGCTTTGTTAGAGAGAAACAGCCATATCTGAATCTCTTGATGGCTTCATTTGTTAGCCATAATTTTCCTGACTATTACTTGTTTAGCCCATTTTAGTGAATATATGATAGAAGTGCTAGTCTACCTTGATATTGCTCATGTAATTGTGCTGATTAGTAAGCTATGCATTCTTGTACCTAGTTAAAACTTCACATATCTTAGTAGGTAGACGGATACCAATTTCAGGAAATGAGAAGAAAGAATGGCGGATTGAGAGATGATTACATTGCCTTCATAGAGTATTGATTAAGTCGCGATCAGTGAAAACCTCGCTCATGAGTATAAGTACAGAAGATGGATTAAATGACGTACCGATAAAGCCCAGTGCGGCGGGATAGCGGGACAAATTTATTTTCCGCCGGCAGAAAAGATTTCGCGGGGTAATATTTGACCAACTATTCTACGAACCTCCACGAAACATCGTTGATACACAAAAGATCGCTTACTTCTATATTCATTTTCTTTCCATTTGGTTATCTATCACACTCGCCCAACATGTCGAAGAAATTTGATCCCGAGACGGCCGAGAACCTCGAGGATGTACGTTACCTTGCGCCTAGTCTTTGTGAAATTTAGGATTGGATGCTGACCTTTTTTTGTAGATGGAGAAGCAGTTCGCCGTTAAGGGTACGTTGTGAACCCATCGCTTCACCCTCGCTTCTTGTGCTTACGTCCCACAGCCGTCGAACATTTGATGACCTATTGGTCGATTCTCGAGAAGGTCCCAGGCTCGAAGCTTCGGTTGACGAAGATGGATGATCAAATCCTCGAGAGCTTCATGAAAGAATTTCCCGATTTCGATCCCGCCGTAACCCTCAACGAGGAGGACATGAAGAGCAAGGCGGGTAAGGAGAAGTGGCGCAACTGGATGAAGCAGTACGAGAAAACGATTGACGACTACAACTTTGGCACTATGCTGCGCTCGAACCCCAAGTTTGAATACGACCAGGAGACTACGATCTTTGGTAAGTTTCCCCGTCTTTGTTAGCGTGCCATCGGGCAAACGCGGGGCTAACAAAGAAACAGCCGTGCGCATGCAATTCTATGCCGTTGAAATCGCCAGGTGAGCGCCGAAAACTTTGGATTGTCAAGCATAATACTGACAATTACAGAAACCGTGCCGGTCTTAATGACTGGATCTATGAGAAGGCTCAGGGCAAGTCCAGCTCGTAAGCCCAGTGTTGCTATTTTATGTTCGCCGAAACCCGCGGAGGGTTTACTTCTCGGACGACCACCAGTGACTGACTTCCATCAAAGATGGAGTCTGCGGAGTTGCTATCTACTCAATTTGTAGACTCTACAGCTTCTCTGGGCGTAGGGCCAGAGCGCGGTCCAGATGGCTTTGACATCTGATAGATGGTTACCCTCGACTTTTATAGAATTTTCTTTTTCTGAAAGCAAAAGTGTACATACATTACATACGAACGGTTATAGTTTGGTACAATTGTGTTGACGGGCACGGGACCATTGAGAACCGCCTAGAACAATGGCAGCGCGCAACCCATTATCTTCCTTCTCCACAACCCCCTCCAAGTCAGAACAAAAGAATACTAAAGTCAAAGTGATACAATGGCTCTAGATGCTGGTCCATTTCTCTCAATTTATGTGTTGTCTTATGAAGCCCTCCACCCGTATTCCTGTTCAAGATCCCCCCGACTCAAGATGCTGAAGGATATGCCCCTAGAGCCATGGAATATTGACATACACCATGGCAGGTATCCTTCAATTCAAACGCTGCTTGGGCCGGAGGCCAAGTTGGCTTTCGCTCTTCAGCTTCACCACTAAAAAACACATCCCAACTCTTTGCTTCGCCATTCTTTTCGCATCATTAGCTAGTGCTAGTTCCCCGATTTTTGCTACACTCCTTGGGGAGGCATTCAACTCTTTAGCATTGTTCGGTAGTGCTCAAATCTCTGCCCAGGAACTAATTCAAACGACAAAAGCAAGCTGTATCAAACTGGCATGCTTAGGTGTTTATAGCTGGTTCTGCAACAGCATCTATTTCATTCTTTTTGTGACCTTCGGAGAGCTCCAAGTCGCTAATGCACGGGGCGCCCTCTTCAAAGGACTTTTGCAGAAAGACCAGGAATGGTTCGAAACACAACAAGATGGAACCCGAACATTCTTATCTTGCCTTCAAGCGTCAGTCATACCCCGGGTCGCTTTGTACTTATCTAACCTCTCGTAGCCAAATCTACGAGTTGCAGAAATCAACGTCCCAGCCTCTGGGACTGCTACTGCAGTATAGCTTCCGAGCCATTGGCTCGCTGGCTCTGGCGTTTTACACCTCCTGGAACCTTTCTCTGGTCACGCTAGCAGGGATCCCGGTCTTCTCCGCCATGGCTTCATTTATCTCTTCTAAGATGAAGTTCAATATTGAAGCACAGCAGGCTGAGTTGGCAAGCGCTTCGAAGGTTGTCAACAACACCACCACTTCGATTGATACAGTCAAGTGCCTGAACGGGGAAGCTTTTGAACTCTACAATTTCTCGAGCAGGATTGACGAGGCTGCGTCGCAGTTTTTGAAACAGGCGCGGTTGAACTCAATTCAGATAGCCCTCATTCGATTGATGACGTACGGCATGTTTGTTCAAGGCTTCTGGTACGGCAGCTCTTTGGCATCGTCTGGGCGGCTCTCACCTGGTGACGTTTTGAGGACATTTTGGGCTTGTCTCACCGCAGCACAGTCCATCGAATTTATTATGACTCAAGTAATCGTACTAGATAAAGGTGCGATTGCAGCCTCTGCATTAAAAATGACCTTGAACAGGCAGACCAACGACGGCGGCCCGAAAGAAATGGAGGGAGCAGTATATCCCCATCAATGCGATGGCGATATTGAAGTGAGCGATGTAAGTTTTTCAAAACCCTGAGTGTTCATGAAAACAATTCCAACTGTCTTAGTTGTCTTTCGCATATTCGTCTCTGCCTGAGATGCTCAGCTTGAACTCGGCAAGCTTCTTCTTCCCAGCGGGGGAGACAACTTTCGTCATAGGAAAGAGTGGATCTGGGAAAAGTACCCTAGGGCAACTACTCACACGGATATACTCGCCAACCTCTGGTGAAATTCTCATAGACGGCACACCCATACAAACTTTGAGCAAGAACTGGATCCGAAACAATTTCACCTTGGTAGAACAACGGAGCATTCTCTTCAACGAATCGATCTTCATGAACATTGCATTTGGACGGCACGACTATGACCAGATCCGAAAAGAAGACGTTCAGGAATGCATCGACCTGGCGATGCTGCAAAGCGTAATCGACCACATGCCGAACGGTATCGACACGTGTGTGGGTTATGGCGGTAGTTTTTTAAGTGGCGGCCAGAGACAAAGGGTTGCAATTGCCCGGGCTAGATTAAGAAATACACAGGTCTTGATCATAGATGAGCCTACAAGCGCTCTAGATGGGACGAATCGTCATGAGGTGATCCGAGCAATCCGGGAGTGGCGCAAAGGGAAAACAACCATCATCATCACACACGACATGTCCCATATCTTGGACAGAGATTTTGTGTATGTCCTGGATCAAGGATCAGTGGTACAGGCTGGGTATAGATCTGAGATTGAGAAACTAGGGAATGATTTCTTTCATTTTAGCGAGGAAAGCTATCCATGTGATTCCGGCGACAGCATACTCTCAGATAATTCGGCTGAGCTTGATAAAAACCGACGTATATCCTCTGTGCTTATGGGCCTCAGACCCGAGTCATTTCACACCGAAAAATTTCAACCAAGATCCCGACTTTCAATCGTGCCCACGCCACAAGACACCTTGCAAGATGGAATGCAGCTAGTTGACTTTACTGAACGGAAGTCAACTCATCACAAATCAAGCAAAAGAAAAGACCGACAAATGTCTCTGTTCCAGATAATGCTAACGATTATACCTAATTTGACCGTCGGGCAACGTGTTCTTCTGCTCCTTGGGCTTCTGTTCACTCTTTGCCACTCGAGCACCACCCCTATATTCGCTTACTTCTTATCGAAACTCCAAGTAACTTTTTTTAACAAGACGAGCACTCTGAAATGGGCCCTGGCCGTTTTGGGGGTCTCGATATCCGATGGAATGGTGTCCTTCTTCATGCATTATCTTCTCAGTCTTTGTAGCCAAGCTTGGGTGGATTGCCTCCGAAAAAGAGCCTTCCGCCGAGTTCTTGATCAGCCGAAGCAATGGTTCGAGGAGGAGGGAAACAGTCCGTCACAGCTGACCGCTTGCCTGACCCGAGATGGTGAAGAAATGCGAGAGATACTTAGCCGCTTCGGTGGCTACGCTTTGGTTGCAGCTTCGATTGCCGTGATAGCGACTGTATGGAGCCTGGCTGTTTGCTGGAAGCTGACTCTAGTTGCGCTTTCCATTGGACCTGTGGTATACGCAATCACAAGAGGTTTTGAACGAATCAGCGGATTGTGGGATAGACGCTGTAACGAGGCTAGGGGTGCAGCGTCGGAGGTATTCGTTGAGACGTTCTCGGAGATACGCACAGTACGTACCCTGACACTAGAACCGTTCTTTCAGGGCAAGCATACGAAAGCCTTGTTGAAATGTCTCACAACGGGGCTGCGGAAGACGGGTTATACAGGGTTCCTCTTTGGGCTGGTCGAGTCTGTTATCGTCTTCGTGAGCGCATTGATTATCTACTACGGGGGACTTCTGGTGTCGGTTCTAGAATACACCGTGGAGGATATCATGACAGTCCTCTCGATGCTGTTATTCAGCATTGGATATGCAAGTGTAGTACTTTCTTGGAGTGAGTATTCTCATCTACTTGATAGGCTTCGCTGACTTTCCAGTTCCGCAAATCAGTGCATCGCGAGAGAGAGGGTCTAGACTCTTACAGATTGCAAACCTTGCCGGAGCTTCACACGAGCGTGTGGGATACATGCCCGCAATGCCGACACCGGTAAAGCTCACCAGGTTGAACTTCCGGTACCCATCTCGGCCAAATGCACCAGTCTTGAAAGACGTTTCCTTCACCATCCCCGAGAACTCATGTACAGCAATTGTAGGCCGGTCTGGGTGTGGTAAATCGACCATAGCCTCGCTGTTACTAGCTCTGTACGAATCGCCCGCTTCCGATAGTGTACCAGCCATTTCACTTGGCGGTGTTGATATACGCAAATTACACACTCCAACGCTTCGCTCCGTTGTGGCGATCGTCTCACAACAACCGACGATATTCCCGGGGACCATCGAAGCCAATATTAGCTATGGACTGGAAGGGTCTCTTCGGGATCCTCGCAACGTCCGCGATGCAGCAAAGGCAGCGGGGGTGGATGAGTTTGTATCATCCCTTCCGCAAGGCTACTCTACCGTTATTGGAGATGGCGGAGTTGGGTTATCCGGCGGGCAAGCGCAGCGAGTGGTGATTGCGCGGGCACTTGTCCGTCGCCCTCGGATTTTGATTTTAGATGAAGCTACATCAGCCCTTGATCCGGCCAGCGCTGAAATCATCCGACATACTGTGCAGAAGCTAGTGATGTCACAGGTAGGCCTGACGGTGATTATCATCACCCACGCCAAGGAAATGATGGAGATTGCGGATAATGTGGTTGTTCTGGAGCATGGGTGTGTTGTTGAAAGTGGGCCATATAAAACGCTGGCGAAACGACCTCATCTGCAAGCATTGATAAACGATCAGAGGACATAGTAGTTAAACATATAGGAGAATCTCAATAATTCTGATCAATCATGTCTAAAAAGCGCTCCTTGATACCTCCGAGCGATGTCAAAGTTCTTTGCCGAATTCTCAACCACTATTGCAGAACCCATTCTTATCCAATAGAAGTTTCTCCAGTCCAAGACCGAACTCTCTCCAATTGGCAGGGCGCTTCTCCCTGATCAGGTCGTCCATATCAAACACCAACCAATAGTCGCACCGCGTTCTCCAATAGGCAACGGGCAACTTCCACAGAAAAGCCTCCAGTACATTGCGTGTATCTCTCACTATCTCCCATGAACACGGACGAGTGCCATAGATCTGATCGACGATGAGAATTCCCCATTCATGTGGTGTGATGTGTGATGAAAACTCGGTAGCTAAACTGCTCATTTTAACGCTGCTTCCTGGCAAATGACTTCTGGTGTTACTGTTGGAGGAAGTTGACGGAATCTGCGCAATGCTAACTCGGAATGAGCCAACTACGAGGTTACTAGATATATGGATCTTGTGTTTTTCCATCTGAAAATTTCTCAATTTGAGTAAGAAAAAGAAAAGAAAAAGAAAAAGAAAACAAAATAGACAACTAAAACCTTTTTTCTTAAAATAGGGGAGGAGCCTTACGGTCGTTCTGCCAGCTTCTTTTTTGTCAATCCTAGGCTGAAGGGGGTGTTGGATTTTACTTTCAAGGCTTGCAACGATTCGTTGGGATTTTTGTTGAGAATACATTCTTAAAAAAAAAAAAAGAAAAGAAAAGAAAAACAAATTAGGAAAAAATTAGAAAAGAACATAGAAAAAATTTTTTAAAAAAAAATTACTCGATATCGATATTCATAAACGACTCGTCAACTTCAACTTCACCCAACACCATCCCAGCCCCCTGGGGAGGGACCAGGATGGTGTTGGGGTGTTGGCAGGGGTGGCGAGGACGACGGCCACGGTAGCCCCTAGGGGCATAATTACGAGGGGCCCCCAGGCGGAGGGCCGGGGGAGGGGGCGATGGTGCTGGGGCTGCTGGGGCTGCTGCTGTTGTTGTTGCTGTTGCTGCTGCTGTTGCTGTTGTTGCTGTTGTTGCTGTTGTTGCTGTTGTTGCTGCTGGGGCTCAACGGCAGGGGCAGCAGGGGCCACCGGGGCAGGGGGCACGGCGCCGCTGCCGCCCACGACGACGAGAGGAGGAGGGGGAGGGGGCAGCTGGGGACTAAATAATCATTATTCATTCTTAGTATAATATATAGTTAAGTGTCTAACCTCTCCCTGAAGAAAACATTAGTATCATACATACCACAGACATAACACAGAAACTTACCATTGACGTTATAAGCATATTAAGGCCTCTCTGGAGGCTGCAAAGCCTCCGACGACACTCTCTCTCTCTGTGTGTCCCTTACGTAAACAATAGTTACACTATATATCCCTCAAACATCAGCATTTGTCCAATATCTTAGTAACCCACTTTGAGGAAGCAAGGAGGATCTTCAAGATACAACCGCTATCCTGTCAAGAAAGCTTGAAAAGAACCAGCTTGAAGCCCGGCCCATCCAGCCAAGTGCTTCAGAATCAACACAAGACAAGAGGAGCTGTTACTCACGCGGGTAATGGTGACGGTGGGCGAGCTGGATGTCCTTAGACTGGATGGTGACACGCTTGGCGTGGATGGCGCAGAGGTTGTGTCCTCAAAGAGGGAGACGAGATAGGCCTTAAAGGACTTCTGAAGAGCACCGATGGCGGAGGACTGGAAGCGAATGTCGGACTTGATATCCTGAGCGATTTCACGGATCTGACGCTGGAAGGGGAGCTTTCGGATCAGGAGCTTGGTGAGAGAGAGAGAGAGAGAGAGAGAGAGAGAGAGAGAGAGAGAGAAGGGAGAGGGACTTTAGGCGTGATCCTCAGGACTATGTGATAGGCTTCCCTCACTGTTTGCTATTGGTCACTTTCACTTTCATTGTCCGTTACAAAACGACATCTACAATTGCGAATGGTGGCCCTTTGGGGTTGGAATAAATACAGTTGAAAAGCTACGAAAATGGCGGTCATTTTGATATACAACAACACATATGCATTCTTTTAATTCGTGGTGTCCTTGAAGCGACTGAGTTGGCTCGCAGATTCTTACATGTAGGTGGAACAGTTTGCACTTGTATGCTCCGACTGTTCCAACTCACCTGTTCAGTTGCAAAATGTTCCCATTCCTTTCTCAAGTGCTAATCGTTGTTGACAGCTGCCAAGACTTCTATAGTTCGAGCCGCTCGACCCGGTGATAAGTTCAAAACGCCACTACTCAGTCAACAATGATTATTTTTCGTTCCAGTAAGCTTCAGTGAAAAAGAATTATTTTTCTCTATTTTTCAATATACATATTTATGGGGCTTCTGTGTAGAGCGGCTTGAAAATAACTTATGGTCTCGAAGCGAAAGTCCGAGAGGTCTTTCTCTGATTGGACAATTGCTCGAGCGTCATGGATGTTTCTGGGAGAGCCTGTACAATAACGCCACACCTTATCGGCTACCAGACCACACTGTCTAATACTTATTCAACCATCTATACCTTCGAGACGGCATTTACGCAAACTTACAACGCACTATTTAATCAGAATTCATTTGAGGTACAGATACTAGTATACACTATGTAGACTCCGATTAAAGCAACTGAATCATCATAGACATCTATATAGCGTTTAATCACACAGTTTGATATGAAAATCAGCGTCCAGGACAGATCTTTGTGATTAGAATTCAATCGTTACAGCGTATTTTTCGTAATTCTAGCGTACAGGCATCAGGATGCTCCTCGACTTGTGTCCAAGCAGGTGACTTCCCAATTAGGTTAGTATATGAAGACAGTAGTAAAACGTAGAGTAGAACTTGGTGAAAACAGGCAAGCCAGCGATAAAGACGGCGCACGCGGATGACGAAGACGACGACGACGATAACGACGATAACGACGACGAGGAGGACGAAGAAGAAGGAGGAGGAGAAGAAGAAGGAGGAGGAGAAGAAGGAGGAGGGGAAGAAGAAGGAGGAGGGGAAGAAGAAGGAGAAGGAGGAGAAGAAGAAGGAGGAGGAGAAGAAGAAGGAGGAGGAGAAGAAGAAGGAGGAGGAGAAGAAGAAGGAGGAGGAGGAGACAACATGCCTTTCAAAAGACTTATTGGGGTTAAACCCTCCCAGGTCCATGGTCGGGATGACACCGTGAAATGGGACGAAGCCCTTGATCGTCAGAGTACCGTGGGAATTAACAAAGGAGCTAGGAAGATATCTCAGCTTCGCCAAGGTCCCGAGGCGGAGGAGAAATCTTCGTCGCTTCGCGAGGGCCTTGATGAACAAAGCCGGACTAAGTCCGCCGAGATTGGGGAGAAATCTTCATCTCGTCAGGGTTATCAGAGGTTAATGTCTTCCGGAGTTGAGGAGAAATCTTCGCTCTGTCCAAGCCCAAAAACAACCGCAGCTGGGGGTAAAACCCTGGGCGGCAAGAAAAATAAGAAGGCGCAAGTGCCATCTAACCAGCGCAGTATCCTCAGTTTTATGAGGCCTGCTGAAGAAGCCGGTGAAAAATCCGTGCCTCAAGAAACCGGTTGCATTACAGCCAGGAAAAGCCCTGCTCCGACTAAACCTGTAGCTGAAAATGCCAGCGAGTCGAAGAGGGCTAAAATTTTCAAGCAAGAGCCCGTCGGGTATGCAGATAACTTGTCTGTGAAGACCGACGAAGAATCAAAATATACCCTCCACGACAACCCCAAAGAAGTCCCCTTCAACGCGGAAGGCTACGCCGACGTTATCCTTATTGAGGATGATGAGTACCCCGACGAATTGAAGTATGAGGACGCCGCCGGGTACGATGTCGAAGAGGATGACCTGCCAGAACAAATTTATGAGGAGGCAGGTTATCTCGAAGAGGAGGGTTTTATCTTGGACGAGGATCGGTATCGGCTTGCCGGTATGGATTCGGACGAGGATTACTAGGCTCTCCGAGAGAGCTTCGACAAAAGCATGCACAGGGTTATCAGGTACCTGTGGTACAATGCTCAAACCCCTTTCGAGGAAATTTCACATGCTGAATCCTATATCGCACCGGGCATGTGCCAGTGGCTGCGGAGAGCAGACGCTGAGGTTGTATATCGCCTATATCAGGCGATCATTCCTGAGTCAACCCGCACTATCCTGGGCCACGATAGACTGACCTGCCAACACATTCTTGCTCTTCCAAAGGTGAGCCCCTCACGTAAGGAAAAGGGTGTGAATCTGGATCTCGTCACTAGTCCCAGCGACAAGGGTGGGCTCTATACGGGGTCAACTATATCTTTTTTCGTTGTGCGGATTCCGGCGCATCGACGTGAGATCCAACGAGATGGATCTGTAAAAGGTGTACATTATACGTACATCCGAGAGAATACAAACAGAAAGCCCCACTTTCGCGTGGTTGCTGTCTTCCCTCGAGATATGCCAGAGCTTGGGGTCGAAATTGCGGACAGCGAATGGCTAGTCCGCTTTCTCGAGGCCGTCATCATGATCGTGCTCGATACGTTCAAACCGGGGTCCTTACCCCAATTCTCGATAACCCAAGACCAGCTCAACCACTTGAGGTCCGAATGTGGCCTCAGAGGTACGGTCTTTGAACCCCTGAACCGCGCTTTGCCGACAAAGCAGTCGGTTCGTTCCAAGCTACCATCAAAATGTAGCAATTGTCCTAGCGAAGAGTCCCCTAACTGGTTCTTGGACTTTAACGCTTCGACATTGGTCGCCGGCCGCCTTTGCAGCGCGTGTTATCAATGGAAGAAATCACACGGCACTAACAGGCCTGCCTCCGTTTATAACAGGCTACATCAGCCAACCTCCGGGCCATGCAGCAACCCAAGCTGTGGTGCCACAGAAACCACGCGCAAATGGTATCGCCACCCGAACGACAGGGACCGGGTTCTATGCAATGCTTGTCACGCATATGTGACTGTCAATGACGGCACTGAGAGACCATTGGAGACTATTCTCAAGCGCCAAAAAGACCAACGTCGGTGTATAGATTGCCCTAAGTTTGGCCCAGGCGTCATATGGCTTGTAGCACATGATAAGCAAGAGGAATTGCTGTACAGGTGCCATACCTGTTACAACAGGTACGAAAGAAGCTTGCCAAAAGCTCAAGATCAATCTTCTCAGTCGCGACGATGCATCAGCTGTGGCGAAATAACAAATTCTAAAGACTGGCACGCAAAGTCGTCAATGTGTGGATCCTGCCACCATGACGATCAACAATGGAGAGGAAAGCGGGGGCGATCAAATTGCTGGAACTGCCTCGAGCAATGGAACAGGAATATAGTGAAGCGCTGGTCTTGTTCCCTCCGCGAGTGGCTATGCAATAAGTGTCAACTAAGCATGAACTCAGGATACCTTCGTATGGCCGCCCACCACCTCGAAAACCTCGACATAAGGTGCGAGTTGTGCCGTACTAAATACAGCAAGGCTTGGTATCCTGGATGCAAATCGACAAACTTGCCCGTGTGCCGACGCTGTGGAGATAGGAAAGGCAGAGGTCGAACCGATTTTGGCGATCGTTCCAACAGCGAACGCGGCCCCGGTGAGCTCACTTACCAGGAAGCCCGTGAAAATGCCGGTAATGTGACCTTTAAACCCGAGTTCTTCGACTACATGAACCGCGCCCATAACATCGACAGATCGGTGGCGGTAATCAATGAAGCGAAGCAACTGGAGGATTCCCTGAACTTATAAGGTTCAAATCCCACAGACGGGCCGGCTCTTATATATAGAAATCTTCCATAGTACCTCGCAGTAGGCCGTAGTACTACGTAGAATCCGTAGGGTGTGAGAGACACCTCCCATCAAAATTCCTGGTACTACCAGGTACTTGGAGGGGGATAGTCGTCTTGAACCCACATTGCTATAGTACTTAACGGAATTATATATCTCTTAACATACTCTGTAGTTGACTAGTTATCAGATGTTCTGATAATACTTGCGATAAGGGATTTAAATCAACTCTCGCTTTGTTTCAAAGTACAACACCTCTACTATTCTTAAAAATGCTTTAAGGGAGGCTCTGTACAAATATTTTGCCAAAAAGAAATTATAGGAAATCTGGTCATTTTCTTAATCGATAGTGTTCCTGAACGCTTGAAAATTCGCTTGGATTTCCAACTTTGGGGGTCTACTTCCAAAGCACAGACATGCTATCATTACCATGATGCCAGTGTGATTAATTTTTCTGGTAATGCCCTCAATCAATCAGTCGAAATTCTATTAACCTGTTAGAGCCTAACTATCAAAAGCAGTATACAGATGCCTTGCCAGTAAGGCAGAATTCTAGTCCAAAACACCTAATTATCCATACATAGGATAATATATAAAAAGCTTTTAAAACACAACCTAAATATATAGCATAGTGTATCTTTTCTCCCAACCATCCTCCTATATCTATAGTCGTTCTCTGCCTCCTCTATAGTTTACCTTTTATCTATTCTACATCGCTCATCGGGTAACCCTTCCAGTACTGTTTTATAACCTCTTAATCAGCGTCTCCTATATCTTTTCCTAGATTAATTCTCCATCTATCTGAATCAGTTCCACTTTGTGGAATTATCCTAGAAGCCCTGTTTTATAGCTAAACTTAGCGATATAGTATATTACCAGCGGGCTTGGTAGTATTATATCCCAATCTTATAGATTATGGCCCCCTGTATACCTCTGTATATAAGTCTTCCTTATAAGGCCCATCTCCTCTATAATCTTCTGCCATATCTTCCTCCGTAGCTCCATGTAAAGTTAGAATTGAAGTAAAATATACTTTAGTATCTAAGACCCCTCTATACACTAATAGCGATTAACTGCCTTAATTTTATAGAGAAAATGTCGTAGATCTCTCCTCTACATCCTTATCTAAAGAATAATCGATACGTGTGGCATTGTAAAAGTCCAGGACCCAGTTATCTAGCATCTTTAGTAATCAATATATAGATTACCCGGTCTTATGCACCTCTTAATGTGTTATCCATTGTCTCTTAAATTATTGATATATCTCCCGTTTAGCTACGGCTACTAGGCGGACTACTCTATCTTGCTGACGTATACCAGGGTCCATAACTACCTCCTTCACAGCTTTATCCATAAGCTTATTCCCAGAAACCCCAATGTAGGCTAGAATCTATTAGATTGTGATCTGGTTCAACAGGTTGAATTGTCTCTGTTATATATATATATATATATATATCTCAATTTATACTGGCCGGAGGGTCATTTAGGGTTCTGTACAGCCTGGATAGTTGCCTAGCTATCAGCGAAAACCGTAACCTGCCGCTGACTCCTCGCAGCCAGGGTCAGGGCCATGTCGAACCTTTTCAGCTCCGCTGCGTAAACCGTTGTGTCCCGGTAATACCCTCCAGTGCGTGCGGATCAATACAAAGACAATACAGCACCTCCACGTAGATATATAGAATAACTCCTCCCTCCCTCTCAAAAGCATTAGATTAAAAAGTAGAATATGTTATATATTGAAAGGAAGTGGAAACTAATCTTCCTTACCTACACTTCTCTACCTCTATCTACAGCAATGCTATGATTCATTTGACACTTCCCGAGGGCCCGTTCTGGAATAAGTCAAAAAAGAGAAACAAAGAAAAAAAGAAGAAATTTCACGAGAATAATTATAACAATAAGAAAGATGATAATTTGTCTACACCGAGCGAGATGGCACAATGCCGGAGATTCTTAAGATTTGGGGTCGCAGAGGGTGTGGAAGAGAAAGGTATCCTTCAAGTGACTCGTTATCAACAAGTCTGTCTGCTGCCCAAAACGTGTATGAACCTATCGACATGAAAATAGTATAATGACTAGAAAGGTAGTCAGAAATAATAAAATATTAAATAGTTTTCGCTCTGGTTTTCATCTCTATGTAGTGTGTCGATTCGAAGCGTCCGCTGACGAAGGTTAGCCCTAGTCACGTTATACCGGGCTCACTACATGTTACCATGCAACAATTACAACATGGAGCTACAAAGCATATTCAAGCGTAATATTGACTCATATATAGATGATTCAATAAAAAAACCCTGCTTACAAGATCTGAGAATGGTTGTGACTCGAGGGTACTCATATGTGATGCGTTTTGGACTCAGGATGGACCCACTGGGCCACGGGCTATGTTCCCGATATCCCAAGGAATTGGCCATATCTTGTATTATAATGTACTGAAAATGCTGAAGATATGCCTCATAGTTCCAGAGATAGGGTATAAAAGAAAAAAGAGAGAATAATATAGGGTCATTAGCTCCCTAATGGCCCTGGATAGAGAAAGGTCCAAAGCATGGTGGATATCATGAGAACGTGGCGTGTGTTCATGTTCTTCTAGTCTTGTTGTATTGTATTATTCTTCTTTAGGTCTAGCAGGCCAGCACTACAGTGGGGAGAGAGCTGTCATAACTATTAGTCCCCTGGTAGATAACTTAACAACTTGTCTAATTTGATACATCAGCTTGATGAATTCCTAGGAAAGGGATAGAGAATAGGTTATATATCATAGGTAAATAGTTATTTATTTGGACTAGATACTCCACTCTCTTGAGATTTTAACACTGTACTTTGAAACTGAGGAATCTACCTGAGAAGACAAAATACATATGGGATCTCTATAAAAATATATTGCGAGCACGGGGGTTCGAACCCCGGACCTCATGCTTGGGAAGCATGCATGCTAACCACTACACTACGCCCGCTTTTCTTATTTAAAGCTATAAAACTAACAAAATATCATCCAAAGGTTGTATAGCCTTCTTGGGCTTTCGTCCCATGGATTCGGGTATTTTAGGATTTATAGTGGGTCTACATTTTAGTTCTATGTGGAGGCATTGCTGTGGGTCTATTTTTATCTGATTTCTCTAGTGTTGGTTGTGATTATAGTGGTGCTACATGCTTTGGTATTCGGTTCATCGTAGGGTAACAACCAAGTCGGAGGTGATGCGGTGGCAGAGCTTGACTTTTTCAGGTGATCATGTGACCATGGGCTTTTCGAGAGTCATGTATTTACAACGTTAAACTTGAGCAATATAACAACGATATGGACAGATGACCCCGATTCTTGAGAAGGCCCTCGATATCATGCCTTGTGATATCTTTCCACACTGTGAGCGGATACGCTTGTCAATATAGAAAACTCTTTGTTCACTAGAACGTTTTCAAATCTCTATACACCGTTTGTTTAGCTTGAATTAAGATTTACGTTGCCATAGGAAGGATTTTGGGGCTTTTCAAGATAATGACGAATATGGGGAGATATCACGCAGATATCCATGTCCTAAATCCTGATAATAGCCAAGCCTTCTACATTACCTTCTCCGTCATATCGTCAGTCATATTGAGAAAGTCGATACATAGGTGGTCCTACAATAGTGTTGGATAGGTGACGCTGAGATGAAGGGTATATCAAGTTAGGGCTTCTAATATGGAATCCCCAGGCACCTAGGCACTCTCGGGCCTCAGGATGTCCACGCTTGGGAATCCATCAGAACCACAACTCCCTCTCTCTCCATTACACCTGGAGAGTTCCTTTCTTTCTACGATAGCATTTATCTTTGATATCCATCTTCACTGGAGTAATGCGGCAACCGTCAATCTCAGTTTTTATGACGTGCGAAAACTAAAACTTCGTATAAAAACAGTCTACTCATACAACCCTTCGTTCTCAGGCAGCTCAGTAAATTTTCAATAAGTTTGTTGTTGAGGCTGTACGTATGTACACAAGTCCATGGGGCCACGAGCTTTACCCATCCAAACCGTCATACTTCTCCTATCTTCAAAGTGTATACTACTCTTATGTCAGGAGGTACCGGCACCAGTACATACATTTCGTTGGTCTTGGACTTCCCATGTCTTTACGATTTGTCACTATGCAGTATATTCTTAATCCTCCACACGCCTTCTGTTTCCTCCAACTCGGAATACAAAGAAAGCACAACATTCAGCTGTGAGTTCGCAGCCTTGATGTTTTCTTCGGTCCGTGCACAGTGTATCTTAAAAAACTCCTCATGGATGCCTTTGAAGTGGAAGGTTGACTGGAAGAACGCCTGCTTCCAGAGTCACGCAACAGTGTTGATACGGTAACCGGTAACTGTCGCGATATCTCTTTGTCTTTGATTGCCTTCTCAAGGTAACGACGATCATCCTCGAAGCTTTCTCCTTCGGCAACGCCATCATTGCTCCATCCCGGAATGTCGACTATGAGCCAAGGGTGATGTATAACGGCGGGGAGTGGTGCGACAGATATCCAATCCCAGTCGATCACCATGGAATTTGAGCCATCCATTAGATAAAGCTGTCAAAGAGAAAAAGTTGAGAAAAATGACACGCTCTTACCCTGTCAAGCGGAAGTTATCGTCTTTCATGATATTATACGCGTTCAAGTCTCCATGGGCGAAGCCAACATCTGTGTACTTGTCCTCACCAGCATAGTAGGGGATCATCGACCTCATGATCAGATAGTCAATGGCATCACCCCATCGAGCAGTTCCAGCGAGAGTTCGTCGGAGACCTCGGTCTAGGCTTTCCGTGAGCCAAGCTGAATACCGGGGCTTTTTCTCTGGCATAAAATCAGTGGGAACTGCAGTAGTCCACAATTGCAGTAGGAACTCCGCAAGGTCCTCGAGAAGCGTTTGACATTTCTTAAGAGGTATCTGGGAGTTCCAAGTAGCTAGTGGCGAACCACTAATCCACTCTGAATACAAGACAGGGTGTTCTGGTTCGAAGAAGACATTTGGCGCTTTCATCTCTGGGTTTTGCTGTTTAATATACTGGAACATCCCAATAGCACGCAACTCATACCTCCAGGTATTGAGATCATCGCAGGATCGAACTGCCCACTGTACGGAATCCTCAAATATAACCTTGAATATTTTGTGTGAGCCGCCCTGACAAGGCCTTTCGTCGGCAAGTGAGCACTGAACCCCCATTTGAAGACGGTGGGCCCCAGAGAAGACATCTGGAAAGTATGTCATTTCCTTTGAAAACATCGAATATACGAAAATGTGAGATGAGAATGATGAGTCTTGGTGAGTCGTACGAGAGCTCCGGTCAAACAGTCAAGTCTCGAGCTGCCGGGCTAAATCTGTGGCACCATGCGGGATAGTTAATCTCGAATTATAACGCTGGAACAATCTACTGACTCTGAGATTCCAAGATACAGTTTCTAGTTCCATCGCTTGTTTACAAGATAAACCCAATGGTAATCCCACCATAACAGTGCACCTAAGGAAATATTCTCCTTGCTCACTTTATCTGGAATAAAGGAAAATTTTGCACCGATCCTACGAATGACGATTGCATGAAAGGGTAGGCGTAGGGCAAACCCCCAGTGCTTGCCCAGACAGCTACCCTTCATCTCAACATCCTTTCATTCATTATCAACCACGTGCCTCTTAAGTACACATACTGATATCCTGTGGCTATATCCCTATGGATCAGGAAACCCCACTCACTACGGCTTCGTTCTGCGATATCTTCCCTTCACCCTTCTTATTTCCGTCTCACTTCATGTATTTTAACACGTTGGTATGGATATTCTTCTCTCCTTCCTTTCTATATCGAGTCACATATACTAATACATCACCCCTTCCTACAGATTATGATAGAGAAATCATATATAAATAGCTCAACTGGAAGGGTATTCTATCTTGCACGGAGCGGGTTGCGTAGAGAATTGAGCTAACAATGTATATAGAATCATCATATAGCTTTCACTGCAGCATACGTGAGCACATAAATACCAATTAGAGAACAGCAACGTTACCCAACCCTAGACAATGCTGGGCTTGCAGAAGGCAACTCTTAGGCCTATTTCACTATATGATACGCTGCAGTACTTATCAAAACAAAGCCTAATCTGTCCTTCTTGTCAACAACATCCACTGGGCCGGAAATTAGTTGCATGGGGATATCTCAATACTGTTTGTTGGTATCAACTTAATCCGAAAGATGAGCATATTTGGAAGTATGAAAAATTAAGGAAGGCGTTGGTTATGTTTCTCTTAGTATAATGCTGTGTCGTCCGGTCCAAAATTATCTCATTCGTAAACGTCCCCAATTACACAGATCCACTCAGTCGTCCATAAACAACCGATAAAACATAGTTCACATCACATTGTCCGCAACGTCATGTACGTTTTCATCGCAATCCCATCACTAGGACATAACATGTTAGGGATAGAGTGTGTAAGGCACGACCTTAGCGCCATCTGGTGTTTTGGTCGAATGGTATTAAGATAGCACTACGTCTATTATTTCAAAAGCTCCCTAAAGCTTTCCATAACTGGCATTTCAACCAGGACAACATTTTCTCATAGATGTTAGTAGTGAAATCTAACATTGCGGTTTCGCGGCATCATGATCTTTCGATCCCCCAACTGGTACGGAGAAACCAACATCATGATTGATGACAGCAACGGAGACATAGCAGTGTCTACGTGTGCAGACACCAGCGCGTAGCCCAATCTTGAGATCCAGCAATGATCTAAATCGTTTCCAGTAGACAGGCGAAATCCATCAATACGTCTCTGCCAGCCACTCAGCCTTTGCAGCGGAAACCTTACGAGCAATCAATGCCCAGTAGTATCATACTATGCAAGACCATAACTCAACCATGGTCGTCATGGTGTCCAAGACATCCTGTAGAGAATTCCAGACCCCGGCCACCAGCCAGGGCACAGATGACTCTACGAAAATCAATCCCCAATTCCAATACCCGCAGTCCAAGACCATAGGCTGTTCTACGCAACTAAATTACACATTACAGGTCGTCAGTAAAGGATGTATGAGCAACTGATGGCTCCGGCCACCATCGCACGTACCCAAAGGGACGTACGGTAGAAGAGCCTTAAGCTGCCCACTTCAATCTGGTTCGCCAATATGACCCACGATCCTGTGGGTGGACCAGTATGTAGGTTGATTATGCGATCGTTTACATTAGATTACTCTAATGCAAGGTAAAAGTGTGAAGAAGAAAAAGAAAAAGAAAAAGAAGACGGCCGGTAACTTAAAAAAGTTTTCTTATATAGGGAGACTAACGGCGGAAGCGAGTCAGTCACGTGATCGTTTCTTCGTCCACTGCAGTATTTCTTCCGAATAATTCTCGGGGAAACATCTTCTCTTTCTCATCCTAACATCGGACCAGCGCATGGTGCTTCTATGTTTGAGCACCATAATCTGGCCTGATCAAGGTTTAAATGCATTCGACGATCGACAGACAATTCGTAGAACTTATCGAACAAACCACACAGTGCGCGTCTAGCCTTTTCAATGGCGAAGAGGCATACTTATTTTTTTCGTTCGTTCAGTGGGAGATCAAAACCAAACAGCTTTTAGCAGGGCTGCGTCTACTCCACCCTGGTGTTCGCTTTGATCGAACGGCAGGACTATTTTTACGACGGACATCATGAATTAATTGTATTCAATATTTGGTTAAGAAGCTATGTCGGGTATTTCTGTAGTTAGACGGTTACGTAGGAAGCTGGAGAATGAGGATTTGCAGTGGAATTCCGTACTGCAGATTCATCGATATGAGGAATCTGATGCCCCTTACAGAATGTGGTATCATGTGATACGACCGAGGGCAGCGATTGCTTCGAAGACCTTGTTGTGTTAGTAATTGGATGCGAGGGTCTGGAATGAAATTCAATAATCCTCGGTTACTAAGACGGAGTGGGTCATTTCTACCAAACAGCGCGTCGCAATTATTAATGAAAGACGGCGATGATGTGGAGCCGACCTGGATATCGGGTTGATGTTGATCGTGAAGATGTCGCAGCCTTTCAACCAAAGGACATTGTTATGTTTGCTGAATGAGAATCGAAAGAATAATCATGATGCTGTGAAGGTGCTGTGATAGAATCCGAATGATGAAGAATTGATACAGAGCCATGGATCCGAATTGTCTTGCGACGGCGGTCCAAGCAATAGCTAATTCGCAATCGAGCATCCCCCTCAGACTAACAAACCCAAAGCAGCTGGAAAACGCGGAGAATTGGAGACGGAACCTTTGCTGCCTTTGCTGACTCAAGAACTATGGTCTAGACGGAAAGCTTCCAAACCCTCTGATTGGTGCGTATCGCCAGTTTCGATGACCTTCGGACTCTGGAAAGCCATTCGGAAAAGTACCTATTAGTAGTATCCCTGCGTTCTCCTCCTCCTCCTCCTCCTCCTCCTCCTCCTCCTCCTTCTTCTTCTTCTCCTCCTTTCAACTCGCTCATTCATTCCTTTCATTTCTTCATCTTCCTTCTTCTCGACTTCCATCTACCGTAGTGGTTTCCCTTGTTGATCCATCTCCATCCCCTTTGTATCAGTTAATCACACCTCCTTAAAACAAACCTTCACAATGGCCTCAGCTGCTAGAACCGCTTCCCGGGCCTTCCTCCGCTCGACTCCTTCCGTCAGACCTGCTGTCCGCAGCACTCGTTTCGCTCTTCCCACTCAGGCTTTCCGTGCTTCGGCCCGTCGTGGTTACGCTTCGGAGGCTGGTGAGGCCAAGTCCAGCAACACTTTCCTCTGGGCTGGTCTCGCTGTTGCCGGTGGTGCCGGTGCATACTTCTACCTGCAGGGCGGTGATTCCGTCAGCTCCAAGAACTTCGTCCCCACCAAGGAGGACTACCAGAAGGTGTACGACGAGATTGCTCGTCGCCTCGCCGATGAGACCGATTATGACGACGGCAGCTATGGACCGGTAAGCCTTTCATAAATTCAATTCGAATAAGGTATTGGAACTAACCTGTGATTTCTATAGGTCCTCGTCCGTCTGGCATGGCACGCAAGTGGTACCTATGACAAGGAGACTGGTACCGGAGGTAGCAACGGTGCTACCATGAGATTCGCTCCTGAGTCCGACCACGGCGCCAACGCTGGTCTCAAGACCGCCAGAGACTTCCTGGAGCCTGTCAAGGCCAAGTTCCCCTGGATCACCTACTCCGATCTTTGGACCCTGGCTGGTTCCTGCGCCATCCAGGAGCTGGGTGGCCCTACCATCCCCTGGAGACCCGGCCGCCAGGACAAGGACGTCGCTGCCTGCACCCCCGACGGCCGTCTGCCTGACGCCGCCAAGGACCACCAGCACGTCCGTGACATCTTCTACCGCATGGGATTCAACGACCAGGAGATCGTGGCTCTGATCGGTGCCCACGCCCTCGGTCGTGCCCACCCTGACCGCTCCGGTTTCGACGGTCCCTGGAACTTCAGCCCTACTGTTTTCACCAACGAGTTCTTCCGTCTGCTGATCGATGAGAAGTGGCAGCCCAGAAAGTGGAACGGCCCTGCCCAGTTCACCGATAAGACCACCGGAACTCTGATGATGCTTCCTGCCGACATGGCCTTCGTCAAGGACAAGGCATTCAAGAAGCACGTTGAGCGCTACGCCCGCGACAGCGATGCCTTCTTCAAGGACTTCACTGATGTCTACGTCAAGCTCCTCGAGCTCGGCGTTCCCTTCGAGAGCAAGCCCGAGGATCGCTTTGTCTTCAAGGCCTCTCAGTAAGCGGTTTTGATGCCCTGATGTCGCATGCTTTGGGTTGGATTTGATTACAGCGCACTGTTCCTTTTTTCTGTTTTGATATCCGGCGTGTCATTTTAGATACTAGCCATCAGAGATGGTGTCTTCATATTACTTTGCCATGTATATGTGGAGGATATCCACCAGGCAATTGGAAGTTTGGTAGAAAAGATTAACTCTTAAATCAAACGCCTTACCGTCAAACTTTTATCCAAGCCGAAATGCCAGAATCGGTACTTCGCGTATCACTGTAGAAAGATAGTATATGGAGCGTAGCATTTGCAAATTGGTAGAAAGCGTGGTACATTGTTGGACGCAAGTGGCGGCGGTGACAAGCCGACATCGCGGAAAGTCTTGCACTTCAAATTCCGCAACCGCCCATCTAACCCAGTTGACTGGACATACACTCATTTGGGCTCTCTATACAAACAAACTACAGGGAAAAATCTACTCAAATGAAATAAACAACCTCAAAAAGAAACAAAATGACCCGCTCAAACGCAGTCACACCCGACTACTACGAAATCCTCAACATCCAAACCACAGGAAACGCCGCCCAAGTCTCCAAACAACAACTCAAACTCGCCTACCATAAAGCCCTCCTAAAACACCATCCAGACAAAGCCTCCTCCGTCGCAAACAGCGCCGACCTCCCCCGGTCCAACCACGACCTGTCGCGCGACAGCAAAGCCTACACAATCGACGAGATAACAACAGCCTACAAAACTCTCACCGACCCGCAGCTCCGCGCAGAATATGATCGTGCTTTGCGACTAGACCGGGCGAAGATTGTTGAGCGTGAGAAAACGGGTGCCGTATTCCATACTGGGCTGGAGGTGGTTGATCTCGAGGACCTGGCTTGTGAGGAAGAAGGCGATTCGGCTTTCTGGTACAGGGGCTGTCGGTGTGGTGATGAGAAGGGGTTCTTGGTGTCGGAGGAGGATCTGGAGAGGGAGGCTGAACATGGAGAGATTGTTATTGGGTGTCGGGGGTGCAGTTTATGGATGAAGATTTTGTTTGCGGTTGAGGATGGTTGAATGGTGCATCGGACTGAGGAGATTTAGACTTGAGTCGTGGCTTGCACTTTGCCATGTGCCATTCCAAAATATGGTCGCTTCGGCGCCGTGATGCAATACCGACCGTACCTTGAGTCGCGGGATGCTTTGAGGCTTGTCTCATGCAGAAACGCCCAGGGAATAGGGCGAAGCAGTCCCGTTAACGACATCAGAGTTGAACGACTTAAGGTTGATAGATCGCTGAGCTGGAAGTGCTGTCTCCGAGATGATCTGAGAGAGAAGGGGGAGGAAATGTTCATTTACAGTGTGCATGATATCAGCATACTGAGAGGCATCCTTAGTGCAATTGTAGTATATTGCACCATGTACAGTGTGTGGTGCCAGATATAAATCATTGAGGCTTTTATTTTATTATATATATATACATATATATATATAAGATCGCCACGCCAATACATAAATCTGTCTCATAACGAACAACGCTCTGTAACTTGAGAGTTCTATATAATACTATAAAAACCAGGAAGAACCTAGCATTTATCTGAACCACGCTACACCGTTTGTGTAGTAAAATTTACGTGTAGCGTGTTGGTTGCTTATAAGCCTTCTACCCGGCAAAACTGCTGAGGGGCTATGACATATAGGTTGACCGAATCCTCCGCCCCCTCTTCGTCGTTGTTCCTCTTCCACTCCCCATTCAACCACCACAATGTCGAGCCCCGTTCATATCTCCTCTAAGGAGCAGTTCAGCACCCTGCTGACGAAGTCTCGCTTTGTTGTCGCGGACTGTAAGCTTCAATCATCCCGACCCCTCGTTCCCCTTGCGTCACCCCGCCTCAGCTTCGAGACCACCTTACAACATGTCACAGCTGCTAACTGATAATCACAGTCTACGCAGACTGGTGCGGACCATGCAACGCCATCGCCCCTGCTTACGAGCAGCTGGCAGCACAGCTGTCACGCCCGAACCGAATCACCTTCACTAAGATCAACGTCGATCACCAACAGGACCTTGCTAAGGCCTACGGAGTTACAGCGTACTTTCCACCACCCCCCCCCCCCCTCCTCTTCTCCAACACCTACAACCCGTACTAACACCTACAAACCATACAGCATGCCGACCTTCATCGTCTTCGAGCGCGGCCGTCCAACCTCCACCGTCAAAGGCGCCGACCCCAAGAAGCTGTCTGACGTGGTCCGCAAACTCGCATCCGAGGCCAGCAAACCTGACGAGGGCGGCGAGGGCTCATCAGGTAGCTCTGACACAGACTGGACCGGACTGGCCGCTCCAAAAGGCTACGCCGACATCACGGACCAGTACGACCCCAAGGGCCTGGAGCTGCTGAACCGAGATAGCGAGTTCGGCACGGTGAAGACACTCTTCGAGACCTCAAAGCCGTCGGCGCTGAACAACGGCAAGGGAAAGGCTAAGGATTGGGTCGAGAGCGATACCGATGAACAGCTTATGCTCTTTGTTCCGTTCCAGTCGACGCTCAAGGTGCATTCGTTGCAGATTACTTCGTTGCCTCCTAGTGATGGTGACGATGATGATGATGAGGTTCCCATGCGTCCCCAGACGATCCATCTCTACACGAACCGCTCGCATGTCCTGGGCTTCGACGAAGCGGATGGTATCGATCCTGTGCAGACGGTGACTATCCAGCCTGAGGATTGGGATAAGAAGACCGGAACGGCCAAGATTGATTTGCGGTTTGTCAAGTTCCAACGGGTTACATCGCTGGTTATGTTCTTTGTGGATGGCGATGGCGACAGCGACAAGCTGCGCGTGGACCGTATCCGTATCTTTGGCGAGGCAGGTGAGAAGAGAGAGATGGGTAAGTTGGAGAAGATTGGTGATGAGCCTGGCGAATAAGCGATAGACTGGACATTACAAGAATACCTTAGACGGATTACGATTCTACAAGAAGCAATATTGAACTGAAAATCTACATTCTTTCTAAGCTAACTACTATTGATAACCTAGTAGATCCCCCTCCAAGTACTTGGCGTTGCCAAGTTTCTTGATGGGAGAAGTCTAAGTAAAAAAGTGATGTCCGATCCCAAACCAAATGGTCTCATCCTTAGAAATTCAGAAAGACCAATAAAGTAGAACCAGCGTGCAATTTTCATTTCTCTGTGACGCAACTGACACTTGGTCACATCATGGGGGAAATATGATGTCCAAGCAACACGGGTGAAATAGTAGTTGCGTCGCCGCACGAAGAAAGAAAAGAAAAAAAATCCTCAAAGAATCGCAGCATCGCGAGATATTTATCTTGTGGTTTTTCGGAACCGGACTTACTTTCCCAATTCATTGTAGACTATTTAGCCGAGTCAAAATTAGGTAATGTGAATGATTACATAAGATGTTGATATGAAAATTTTTCTTTCGGGCTTTTTTCTCTCTTCTTCTTCTTTTTCTATAAAACAAATAAGGCTTATGATGAGACAATTGGATGTTAAATATATGATAGGAAGAGACTGATTCCTGCTGGGAATGTGATCTCAAACTCCATCCACTGAGGCCTTTTTGTCTTACTTTTCCTTTTGCTTGGGTTTCTTTGTTGGCTGCTGCTGGGGCACTTTGTCCTACCTTGATGCTTTTGAGGACCTTGGACTTGGCGGTGGAAGGTTTACATTCTGATAAAGACATTTGTGTGGTGTCTGGTAGTTTAGCGAATAGCAAGTAATATATACCTGAATAGTTATGTATATCAATATTTCGAAGGATGTGTGCCAGTTGCCGATCAAGTCTCCATTGTTCCTGCAATTGCGTCAGCGTTTGAACTCTCTATCGCGATAAATTGCTTGCACAAATGTCGTCATTTGCGCCGGTCTCCGACCACGGTTCTCCCCGATTCAGATAGACAGGGGGGGGGACCTTGGTCGTGCACAACCTGTAGAAACAAGACTCGCTAACGCGGGAACCTGAGCGCTGTTCCTCCCGGTACCGACCAATGCTTCATCTTTTTTTATCTGTTGATCCATAATTGATTAGTTGACCCGAGCAACCACCAGTGAACCACGGGCCGAGTATGTCGCGGGCAAGATCTGAACCGATCGTTTCCTCGTATCGGATCTGGTTATCCCCAGTCAGCTGAATCCTGTCCGCCACAGGTGTTTCATATGTGTCCACTGTCACCACTGGTACTGCGAATCGCAGATTGAGGCTCTCCAACAGAGAGGACGGAGATCGGAGATGCGAGAGAAAAAATTATCAAATTCATCGCCCCCCTTGGGAGCAATGGTGCATATCTCCTCAGTATGGTTGCATTGGACCCACGAGATGCACCACGGGAAGGTCTCACCGTGAGACGCAGCGATCAGTCGGGCCCTTCCTTCCATAGGTAAATCTGGTGATAGTGTGTGGAGAAATAGTGCCTCTGGAGTAAAATTCTATCCAGATAGAGTTTCAGTCTATTGTCGGCGCTATTTTCGTTCAACACCCCCCGCCGACCAAAGCTTCCAACACTGTCCTCCGTACAGAGTAAGAGGGCCTCTTTAGCGATGTCGGACTTGGGATAGTACCACTTTTCATTCATGGTTCGGTGGTTCCAATGATCCCCCCCCCCCAATCGTTGTACTCCGGGAGTAGAGAGATATTGAAGTTGCTTTTCCAGGGTCTTTCATTCCATGACCAATTTTAGTAGTAGTGGCAAGTGGCAATATTTTTGAGGCCTTGGAAAACTCTGACCTGAGCTGAGGGTCAGATAAGGGAAATCGTGCATGAAGATCTCTGAGATTATTGTGTTCTCCGCATCTTCCAAATAGACCGAAAGTCAACATGAAATTGGCTCATTCCAAATGGAAGGGTTCAAGACTATTTGGAAGCCTGTCACTCTCTTCAATGATCAATAGTGAGAGTTTTTCCAAAAGTCTGGGACTCGGTGGATAACCGAAAACCTTCGTTCTCGTGAATTCACCGAATAGTGACACCTCCTTCCTGTCTAAGATAAGCACTGGGGGAAGAGAACCTTGGTCACCTTTTGTAAGGTGCAATCATGATCAGCATAGTTGAGCCCACGTTTCTCTTTTTTCCTTTCTCCAAATTCCAGCGGCCCGCATATACCATACGTGGACTAGACTCGGACTCTGCAACCAATCTTCTCGCTTGAAGCAGGCCAGGTTCTCCAGATTCAGGAACCGGAATGCTTGGTCCGGTAGAAAGAGTTTCCCCTCCCACAATCACATTATTCGTCCACGATCTTCCAATACGGAGTAGCGTTGTGCGGTACTCCGCAGTAGAACCGCTGATAGCGAGTCATGATGCCATAGAATTACACAATTGGTTAGAATATCATCCCAAACCAAATGGTGTATCACGCACGTGCTGCTCTGGCAGCCCTTCTGCAGTCCCCATTGCCTAGGTTAAATGGTTCAATATGTTTGACTTTTGCCGCTGGTGATCGACACCGCTAGTTGTGTCCTCCTGCTGCAAAGCTCCAGGAACGGAACTCAAATCTGTGCGCCACGGGCCTCTTTTTGCTCTATTCTTTCAATTTTTGACAGTGGGAGTTATTGTCCTAGCTCAAATGCCGGGATATCGCCCCCCAGCGGCACTAGGTCTAGGAGGATTTGGAAGCCAATGGAAGTCGGCAAATGTACACCGCAGGTTCCAGGAATGAATCCAACAAGCATTTCGCCGGACCAGGACATCCACTAACTAGTACTATGCATGCAGCTACATCTCGGGTCGAGAAGTGGACACGGTGTACTGTATAGGTCCCCGCAAAACCACTTGTAGCTCATCGGTTATCGGGTTCAATTCTGATCCCGGGCTTATAGCGATGGAAATTCTTGGCAAATATCCATTACCCAAAAGGAAATGAGGGATTTCACATTCGATATTGACTGTGTGGAGTATTGTCACTATTGTGAGATGTGTGGTAACGTGAGCGTTAGTAAACCTAATAGAAAGTTTTAACCAAAGTGTTAAAAAAAAAAACTATTTGACAATAAGTCTCGTATCGAGGAAAAAGAATACCAAATGGAACCTTCTTCGAATGTCTTGGCATTATGACGACGAGGGACCCTCCTCGTGTGGTTAACTTTATGATGGTTTCAAAAAAAAAAAAAAAAAAAAACGTCATTTGGAATTCCGAACCAACAGCTTCAAATAGATAGTATTTCGTACTCCGTTAGTAGTGGTGGTTCCTATACGTAGATAGTTAGGTACCTCCATTGTCGAGGGGATACTAACTAAGCGACTAGTACGCCACTTGGTGAGAGAAACAAAGATGATTGGAGGATTAACGGACGCGTAGTCTGTTTCAGATGTCGAGCTTCCAACTTCCGACGAAAGTCTGACCACAGAACTGGGTACCTTTTCCGAGCGGATGGGTTGGAGACCTCGAATATTTCCGGAAACTGACCTAATTGACGGTCTTTCCCGACCGAGAAGGTACCTTGCTAGCCATGCCCCCACAGGCTAATATATGTGTGGCTTTTGGACTAAGATAGTAGATCGTTTACGTAGAACAAAGACTGGGAGCCTGGAAGTAAGTCTACTTTGGAGTAAGACATTTTTGTGTGAAGGAAACAAAATCGTTAGGGCAAGTCTAATGACCATTCCATAATTTGGTATTTCCGTATTAAGGCGTTCCAACAATGCTTCCATAATGATCAACATAATTAATCGTGCCATCAGTTGATAAACAACCAGAGATTCCAAATCAGCTAATGGCCTTCCTCTTTGAGAAGTACTCCTAGTCCACCTTCAACCGTTGCATGATACGCTTCACTTTCCTAAGTAATTCATTCTACTAGTGATCCACAACTCCTACGAGTGGGTGCTTGTACAATCTTATGATAATGAGTGATGCCTACACTATGTATACTATTTCCCCCACGGTACTCTAGCCAACCGAGTTCCGGTCAATGTCATACATACTAAATTTGGTACCGAACTACCGTTGAGTGAGTCGTTTAAATCGATGACCTTTTCGGATGTTGCGGCCATGATGAAGAAAGAGCCTAAGGCAGCGGTACACGGATGCTCATAGGTCTTGCTGATTCGCCGGGGGAAGCCGCACCTTCCCGTGGTTTTCAGCACGGTCGCTCTGCCTCTCAATGCCTAATCAGGGCCGCTTCCAATGTCCACACTAGGACCCTACCACCCGCGGATGCGCGCCATACTCCGTCTTGAATCCACAAGTGTCAACGTCGCAAAGAGACGCTGTTCCGTTGGCTTGGACCTCCGTTCATCTTAAACCAGTAAAGAGCTGTTCGGTGGCAGACCGAGGATACGCCATGAGGCGAGACAACGGTCGAGACTATTTGATTTTAGTTGACAGTTTAGTATCATGATATGCTGTTAGTGTGGAGTCGAAATAGACCTGTCATTGAGTGGCCAGACTCCGACGCTCTCGAAGGTCACCCAAACTGCTTCTAAAATGATAATCTGAATTGATATGTGTGCGACGGATTAACAATGATGAAGAATCATGATCGTCAACGGCGAGCTCACTCTAGCTCGTACACACCGTACTTTGTGGGGTTGAGCCAAGTTGAGTAGCAATTTTCTTACCTGTCAGATTGAGAGTATGATCAGAGCCGTTGATTTTCTCTCAAAAAGATTTTTATTTTTTTTTATTTTTTTTTTCTCTCTATGATGACCCTGTTTTTGCTTTTTCTTCCCTTTCTTTGTGCTCAGTAAATAGATCACAAAAGTAATTTCTTGGTCTGTTGTCTGTGCTACAACGGTTTCTGCGGTGGCGTATCTCTTTTTGGTGGCGAGACAGGGGTTCACTGCAAAAAGCCCTCGAGGGCTGATGGTCATCTTCTGCTTACGTCGTCAAGTCCGTCGGATGTTACAACAGTCGTGATTGACATTTGTTGATTAACTTTCCGGCCTTCAAAGTACTCTCTGTAATTACTCTTCGGCCTCTGTTATGGAGCAACGTGGAGTGTAGTGGCAAGTACTAACAAGAGTAGTGGTGGTTTAACGTTCTTTCGTTGCCTTCTCGAAGGTCGCCAATTTCCTTCCATGCATGATTTAAAATTACATTGACGGAGACTCTAACCGGAGTCGGTATAACAACAACTCGTCTAGATGGGGCTTTCAAAATTAATGAATATCTCACTGGGTTCTTAGGGTGCTCTAGACGACCTGCTACTGTACGGACGTTAGTAGCATCGTATACTATATACTAAACATGCGGATATGTTTTTATCGCGCAGTCCCCTTAAGGGTTTAGTGACCTTGCGGCAGTCTCCGTTCCCAAACATCGGAATATCAGGGGACTCCTTAACACCGACCCCCCTCCCCCTGTCATCCAATCGCTCACCCTGGGCAAAAAGGATAAAAGTGGTGCCGGGGTAGAGGGGATTACAACCAATCACGAATAGATTCTATCTTTAGATGGAACCAATAGTGGCCCGGAAAAACCCTCGCTCCCCCCGAATTTTATCAAATAGATAAAGAAATAAATTGAATGGCCGCATGGCGAGACGAAGTATCACACGAAGTTTTTCGGGAAAGAAAGTCCCGAAGAGAAGGGCTTGGGTGTTACCGTGGCAAGTAATTTAGCTTTTTACCAGACGGTGGTTTGTTGTTACACGGCGGTCTCGCTCTTGGAGCTTGCGTGTTTTCCCTGGCTAAAAAAGCTTTGATCTAATTCGGGCTCTTGGCTTGCATTTGACAGCTCTGACCTTGTCCCTTGCTTGTGGCGCAGCCTGTCAGTGTTATCTGTAAATCTGGTTCATCGCGTTTGTTTCGGATTTCGTGGACCAATTTCTTGCTTGGTTTTTTTTTTTTTTTTTTTTAGCGTTTGGTACTTTGCATGAAGAGTAAGTAAGGATTGTGGTCATCGTATGTAGGTGTCTGCATATGTTATGTAAGATGTGACTCGGACAAACAGGCCAAAGATTCCTTGTACCTGGGGGGTTTTACCGATACAAGTCTAAAGTGACCAGGATGAGCATCGACAGCCAACCATTGTACTCTTTCTCTCAAAAATAATTCTATTTTGACAGTTCGGATGGTGTAACCTGAGTTGATGGCAACATCCAAGCGTCACCTTTGATTCCGATTCAAGCAAGGGTTGGATCGTTTTAGTAGATTCTGAGTCGCGCCAGGGCTGCAGGCTGCATTCTCCGCACTTGTTCCTGCAGTAGGCTTAGGTAAAGCTGATCGATCATGTATCCAGTAGCCGTTGAACAGGTCGAATGGCAAATGTGAGCAGCTCTTTGTTATGAATCTTTTTTAAGGTTATAGTGCTTTGCACTATGGGTTGGTGGCCCAACTCTCAATTTTAAGACGAGGTGAGGTCCAATGGTACTGGGATCCAGTACCCCGGTTGAATTATTCTGTTCCGCACATGACATGTAAGATAGAGGGCTCAATATGACTACGTGCCTTATGCAGGTAAGTATCTTATGATAAGTTGCCTAACTGGATCGTCCTATGTAAGCGAAGTCAAAGCGTTTCGTTCCTCGGCACCAGTAGGAGAACTTCGTTTTGGAGAGACTACGCCATAGAAAGTGTTGTTTGAAGACAGTAGGGCAACATGACCACAACTTGACTAAGTTCATATTGTCCGTCGATACGCTCTAATGTAAGGTACGAGTTGTACACCACCATGCCACTATTAGATACCCAGTGGGGCCTAGTCGAGACCGTTTCGCCATTCGTTGATTGAACATAGTATGTCTACTCGAAGTTTGCTACTACGTAGATGAAAAGCCAGGACTAGTATGTTGGTGACGTGATTGGAAAACGTTCCAATATCATCGCGGGCGACCCAAACTTCTTTTTGCGACCGATATTCGGATTGACACTATTCCGTCATTTGACTATCAAATACAACATCTTCTTTACCCGCCCACGCAGATCTTAACTGGACGAGAAAGGCAAAAAAAAAAAAAAAAAAAAAAAGCAAAGTGATGTTCATCATTCCTTTCTTTTTTCAAACATCGTTTCGTCTTGGGGTCGAATCCCCAAATGGCGGACGGGACGATGCTCAGCGGGGCCGGCTAGCCTAGCCGGCGAGTCAATCCTCTCATTCACGCGCAGACTTCATTGGCCCTCAATGCAGCTTCGGTGTACCCAGTCTTGCAGCCAACTTTCGCAGTGGAAGAAATGTCACCCATTATCTGGCCTATCAGTGACTCTCAGCCCATGGGATGGCGAGGTCGGATGTTCTTTACCCATTTTTTCCCTTTTCTTCCTGGTGAGGTCCCACCACCCTACTACTACTTTCCTCTCCTGTGAGGCCGCCGCCCCACTCCAATTTACTTTTGCTAATGGCCACTGGCTCGATTTTGGACTCGCACTCCCATGTTTGTGGGACAGTGAAGCCGCTGATAAGCCAGATAGGCAAAGACTTGGGATGTAGGTCGGTTTCCCATTGGTAACGAGACTACCGATATGTATGGCACATCACCGTATCACTGTTCATCAATCACTGTCCGTCCCCAGACTCAAGATTATCATTGATTGATGGGAGGGAGATGCTGATGTCTTAGTTTAGGGGCCAACATTGTCTTGATCTTTGCGATCTGACTGGATTCAGAGAATCATGAACGTGACTTTTACTCTCGGGCAATCAAATGTTCATACTACTATTTCAGGAAGGGCAAATCATACTTCAGGTTTACTTTTCAGCCCAGGTCTCGGATAACAGTGGCAATTCACGCACGACACACACTGCACAATCAAGTGGTAGGACTGTATAGTAGGATTAGGGCACCAGTCTAAGGATAATTACCGATGATACCTAAATAATTTAATAGATTAGTATTATTATCCAATTTTAATAGGACGGAGGACCAACAACCTGTATTATATTATTACATGAGACTTCATACTTCTACACCATCAATCCATTGTCAATGCGGTATTTGACCACGAGTGAGGCTTTTCTTTTTCACTCCTCATCCCAATTTTTACTCCTTCCCTTTATTAATTGGTATAGAACAATCTCCGCATTTTTTTTTTTTTTTTTTTTTTACGAAGTACTATTACTAGAACTATCAAAGTGTGGTATACTAAGTTGGCAGGAACCAAAACTTCCCAAGGTAAGGTACCAAGTTGTATGTAATGAAATGGGGGTGGCCACTTTTTTTATTTTTCGTTTAATCTTTTATATTTTATTTTATTTTTTACTTTTTTGGAGAGTCCTCATATGGAGTCTTTATGAGGACCGCCAAGGTGGTCCACTCGTGCTCATGCGTCCCACATGCTTACGCCTTTTTTGGGTTCCCCGGCCGAGGTAGTGGTCCCATTCCCTGTTAGTCGCGCATTGGATTTGTCGGCTGTGTAGTTCGGATGAGATCCTACGCTACCCTTCCCCAATGGAGCAATGGCACAACATTTTAGGGTAGACTTAGTTTGTGACTAGCAAAATGTAGATGGTGGTTATGATGATGCGGCGGATGCTGCCACTGTTGACGATGAAGGAGTCCCACCTCCCGTCTTGTTGCTCCGCTGTTGGAGGAACTGAGATGTGCACCGGCGTCAATCTGTGTCTGCTTGTGTGCCGTCCTGCGTTTAGTTTTACGTGAGAGTTGTGTCTATAGGGCGGATGTCGGAGATGTTATAAAATAATACACAGCCCAAAAAAATAAAAATAAAAAAAATTTTAAAAAAAGGTATGAAGAATCAGGCAAGAAAAAAAAAGGCAAAATAAAGAAAACAAAACTGACAGAGAAGTTTCCCCTCAAAGTGTAAATTGGGAGTTGAGAAAACAATTGGGATTCATGAACAGAGTTATACCCATTGATCATTCGCACCATTCAGGCAAAGATTAACTGATAATCATAGAAAATCTGGCACCACCATGGAGAGTATCCTTGGAATTGATGGGCGGATGCACCGCGGCCATCCATTAGTGAGTTACTCCATTTATTATGATTTATTATTATTATTTTTTTTTTTGAAATTTAATTTTTTTGGGGGGGGGGGAGAGAAGAATAATGATTTTTTTTATTTCCATTTTATTTATTATAATAAAAAAAATATATAATTATAATTATAATTCAGGATATTATTAGGTATAATTACTAGTATTATACTACCTTCCCTCCCTCTTCCACGCCCCCCCTCCAAATAGACAAGACGGACTAAAACTAAAAAGTACGGCTCCAGTCCTACTAACTCTCACTACGCACGGCGCTACTAAGTCGTAGCACAAGCAGATCAGTCTCTCTTTTATCCACTGTCCATCCTTCTGACCGTCTCTCCCTCTTCCCTTTCCCATATCGGCCACTGTCTCTCGTTTCCCCGCGACTGTCCTTGCCCTTCAAATTAGTCCTCTTTATTTCTTTTTTCCCTTTTTAGACTTGTCTCGATTCTCTTTCCTTCCCTTCGTTATTTCTTATTTTTTGGCTTTGATCCCCATCCATCTCTCTCTTTTCTCTCTCTTTCTTTTACTTCATCATCTGTCTCCCGGTACCTTTGATCGTGATCGTCCCGAATCCAAAAAGGGTTGGCTCGTATCGACCAGAGGTTCCTGTCTTTCCTTCTATCAGATATAACTATACCGTACATTCACACCAGAAGACGTTGCATACTCGCAGTCTTATCTATAAAACCCTAATTCGGACTTGCACTCTTCTGCCTTCAGTCATTCATTCATCCAGAGCAACAAGAGACATCTTACATTCATTCAGCAACTACATTGCTCGACATCAATCTGGAACCAACATAGACTATACATACTTATAATAATACTCACAAGAGGTAAAGCAGTATTCGCTTGATCCTCAACACATTCATCATTGGTTCGTGGAAGGAATGTGCTATATCATGCAGGATGCCTATACTGATACCTCGTCTTCTAGTCGCAATGGACGCTACATACACGATGGCACCAACGGTGCAAGGACAACCATCATTTGCATACTACCCCACTGCTGATTCACAAAGACAACAATACACAAGTCACCCGGCTGAACCCCAGCCATACTATGGACATGTGCAAGCCTTCCCTCAGCAACACTGCCTACCGGAGCAACAACCGGTCTATAATGCTCAACCCATGATGAACATGCATCAGATGGCTACTACCAATGCCTTCCGGGGAGCAATGAACATGACTCCCATCGCCTCCCCTCAACCATCTCACCTGAAGCCCACAATCGTCGTCCAGCAGGGTTCCCCAGCCCTCATGCCTTTGGACACGAGGTTCGTCGGCGACTACTATAGCTTCCCTTCTACCCCTCCACTCTCCACCGCTGGAAGTTCCATCAGCAGCCCACCATCTAGCAGTGGCACACTGCACACCCCGATCAATGACTGCTTCTTCTCATTCGAAAAGGTGGAGGGTGTAAAGGAGGGTTGTGAAGGTGACGTCCATGCTGAGCTTCTGGCCAGTGCCGACTGGGCTCGGTCAGCAACTTCGCCTCCTATGACCCCTGGTATGTATTATTTTTTGTCATTTTCCATGAGTTGAGCAGAGTCTGACTTCGTCCTAGTTTTCATTAACCCCAATACTCTCACCCCCAGTCAGAGCTCAGACTTCCTGTCTGCCAATGGCTCTTGCCCCTCTCTTTCTCCTTCGCCTTCTCCTGTATCTTCCTTGTTTGCTCCGTCTCAGTCGGCTTTCCCTGTTGAGCAGGCTACCTCCGACTTCTGTGATCCTCGGCAGTTGACTGTCGAGTCTTCCGTCCACACATCTTCTCCCACCGAGTTGCCTCCTTTGCCCACTCTCTCCTGTGATGAGGAGGAACCCAAGGTGGTTCTGGGAAGCGAGGCTGTGACTTTGCCCGTTCATGAGAACCCATCTCCCGCTTACACTAGCTCCACCGAGGACCCCCTCGGTTCGTTGCCCACCTTTGACAGCTTTTCAGACCTTGATTCGGAGGACGAGTTTGTCAACCGCCTCGTTGACTTCCATCCCAGCGGTAACGCCTACTACATGGGTGAAAAGAGACAGCGTCTCAGCACATACTCCTTCGAGGACGAGGAGTTTCTGAGCGAGCACAGCTTGGAAGATTCTTCAGACGATCTGGATTTGGCCCAGTCTGGCCTTTCTTTCTTGGGATGCGCCGATTTCGCCCCGGTCCAGAGTGATGCCGGCGAGACCACGGATGAGATGAAGACAAAGAAGCGAAGCAACTCGCGCAAGTCTCTTAAGAGAGCAAACTCTGAGGATCAGGATGCTCTCAAGACGGCACAGGTGGCGGTCAACAGCCGGGCCAACAGTACCGAGGCTAACGCGGCTCAGCAGGCCACTGCTCCGTCCCGCGCAACCTCGGAAGCCAATGTATCCAGCTCTTCCGAGGCCCCACCTGTTCCTGTGTCGGTGAACCGCCGGGGTCGTAAGCAATCCCTGACGGATGACCCTTCCAAGACCTTCGTCTGCTCTCTCTGCTCTCGTCGTTTCCGTCGTCAGGAGCACCTGAAGCGTCACTACCGCTCTCTGCACACCCAGGACAAGCCCTTCGAGTGCAATGAGTGTGGTAAGAAGTTTTCTCGCAGTGACAACCTTGCGCAGCATGCCAGGACCCACGCCGGTGGTTCTATCGTAATGGGTGTCTTGGACACGAACAATGCATCTCAACGGTATGAGGAACGTGACGCGAGTGCTATGGGTGCCGTGCTCTATGAAGCTGCCAACGCTGCGGCAACCAAGTCGACGACTAGCGATTCATCCGAAGATGGTGTTTCTGACACACCCTCTATCGATCGTCGATCTGCTAAGAAGCGCAAGCGTGATGAACATGCTTAGTTGCTTCCATTGCCGTTTGCAACTTCACGACGCGATGTGACCAGGAGCTCCACCCCCCTTACTACTTAATACACACACTATCATAATTACTCCACCATTGCACTGGTTGGTCTGACTTTTGTCTTTGCGATTTTGGCGTCTGGGCATTTACATTGGCGGTGTCAGGTGGGAGGCTAAGGTGTCTGGCAAAAGGATATCCGTTTCTCACACAGGGGAAAAGAGAAACATAATACAACATATGGTCTTTGCAAAAGAAAGACTTTACATTGGGAGGCATTAGACCGGTTGTCTGGGCTGCAACGGATTCGGCGCACTGGGAGTCCACGGTTTGGACTAAACTTAGAGCGCATGACGACTTCTCGTTTTTGAGGCACAGGTGGTGATTTGGGATTTCTCTTTTTTTTTTTTTTTTTTTTCATCGCATTTCCTGGCAAAGATGTCTTTGCCTCGATCAACAGAATGGCTCAAGTCATTCTCCACTCTTCTTGTACCCATTTCCCTTTATTCTCTTCTCTTCGATCTACTTCTCGTTCATCTTGCATTCTGTGTCACTATTTCATGTAATATTTGATTTGACCTTGACCTGGGTTGCACCCTCACCACATCATTCCTGTGCTGGCCACATGTATAATTCAACTTGTTCCCCCCAATCATTGCCTCATACCCTTGTGCGCATCATCCTGTTTTCATTTTGTTTACATCCATAATATTCCCCCGTTGTTATTAATTCAAGCGCCCATTTGATCTGCGGCATAGCTAGTGATAATCAAAGATACATCAAAAAAGAAAAAAAAAGCCCTCTTGAATATGTAGTGTAGTAGTATTTGTACAAACCCATGGTTAGTTGGGTTGGCTTTCCGTGTCGGAACCAAGTCTTGACGACTCGCAGTGAAAATTAAGTTAAACGGGGCTCAATTCCAATCCCCAATGATTAACAACTAAAAAGCTCCAACCCCTGGTCTACATTAAACCGAACTATTACTAGTCTACATATCTCAAGCATCTAGACTCTAGCGCAAGCGCGGGGTCACCTAAAAACAGGGAAAGAAAAAAAAAAAAAAAGAAAACAAAAAAATACCCCTCCTCAAATGATAACATCAACCCCACCATGACCCCATCACCACAACCACAACAAGGCAAATGCCTAAACGTGATCGCCCTAATATCCGGAGGAAAAGACTCCCTCTATTCACTCCTACACTGCCTCCGTAACGGCCACAAAGTCATTGCCCTAGCAAATCTCCACCCCCCCCCGGTCCAAGATGCCCAAGAACCAGAAGAAGACATCGACAGCTTCATGTACCAAACCATTGGCCACGCCGTAATTCCCCTCTACGAGCAGGCCTTGGATATTCCGCTCTACCGCGCCCCCATTACCGGCGGCGCGGTCGACACAGCCCGCATCTACCGCAATGATGCTGCAGATCAGATGGCGGAGATTTCCTCACAGGAAGGAGAGGAAGACGAGACGGAGTCGCTCGTTCCGCTGCTGAAACGCGTGATGGAGCGTCATCCGGAGGCGAATGCCGTCTGTGCGGGGGCTATCTTGTCGACTTATCAACGGACTAGGATTGAGAATGTGGCGTTTCGGTTGGGATTGACGCCGTTGGCTTGGTTGTGGAATTATCCGGTGCTTCCGGCGCCGGTGGAACGGAAGGGAGTGGTTACGCAGGCTGGGTTGTTGGAGGATATGGCTGGGGTTGGGTGTGAGGCGAGGATTATCAAGGTTGCCTCTGGCGGGTTGGATGAGGGGTTTCTTTGGGGGGATGTGTCGAGTCGGGATGGGCTTGTGCGGAGGAGGATCGAGAGGGGTATGAGGAGGTTTGTGGTGGATGATTTGGGGGGTGCGGTTCTTGGGGAGGGGGGTGAGTATGAGAGTCTGGCGGTGGATGGGCCTGGGTTTCTTTGGAAGGGGAGGATTGAGATTGATGAGAGGGAGGTCTGTTCTGGGGAGGGGGGTGTTGGGTTTATGAGGCTTCGGGGGGCGAGGTGTGTGCCCAAGGATGGAGAGGATGGTGTTTCGCCGGGGGATGTGAGGCGGCCGGCGTTGTTGGATGAGAAGTTCTCTGGGGTTTTGGATGGAGTGGTTTCGGAGGTGGGGGATTTGGACGTCAAGTCCGTGGAAGAGTCTCAGCCTGTGTGGCGGCTTGGGGAGGTCGCTCAGTCGAAGAATGGCGGGACGTGGACTATCTCGAATGTTGCGGCGCCTGAGGCTGGTCCTGGTGCTGGAGAGCAGATGGAGGCGATTGCGCGGAAGATACAGCTTATTCTGGAGTCTACGGGTACGCAGACACCGGCTGATATTGTCTTTGCTACGGTTTTGATTCGCTCGATGGTTGATTTCCCATTGATGAACGATATTTACATTTCGCTTTTTAAGAAGCCGAACCCGCCTGCCAGAGCTACAGTGGCTTGTGGGGATGGTCTCCCCGAGGGCGTGAAGATAATGGTCTCGTTGGTCGTTGATTTGGGTCCCAGGGACCTGCGGCAGGGCCTTCATGTTCAGTCCCGGTCATACTGGGCCCCGGCTAATATTGGACCATATTCACAGGCTATGTCTATTCCGGTGCAATTAGAGCGGCTGGTGTACATTGCCGGTCAGATACCTTTGGAACCGGCGTCGATGGATATGGTCGTTGGCCCAGAGTCATGGCTTGAGAGTTACTCTTTGCGAGCGGTGCTGTCTTTACAGCATATGTGGAGAATTGGGGCAGCGATGCAGGTTGACTGGTGGCTGGGGGCAGTTGCGTATCTAACGGGAACAGACCATATTGGTACCAAAGCACAAATAGCATGGCGTCTGTGGGAGACGATGCATGCCCAGCAAATCGATTCAGACGAGTATGACGAAGAGCCGGCGTTGGATGCTTGGGACATTAAGTATGGAGGACGAGCTTATGACCAGCCCACGCTAGAGGCAGCTGCTTTGCCTAACATGTCTGTGGTGCAGTCGGACGTACTCGTTCCTCCATTCTTTGCTGTCCAGATTGCTGAGCTACCCCGGGGTAGCGATATCGAATGGCAAGGTTTGGGTTACCGGTGCAATGGTTTAAAAATGGCCGCGGAAGATTTGGATGTTGGTCGCAAGATCGACACCATCACGGATGGGGATCTGCGATATACAGGAATTGAGATTGACAAAGAATCCGGTACTGAACTGGAGTCGTGCCTGCAGCGCATTCTTGGAAAATACTCCACAGCGGGGGTTTCCCATGCAGCTCTCTACACAACACAGCCGCTGTCTGAAAAGACTTGGTTGGGTCAGGTCGTGCCTTGCACATCAGTATGGGGCCAGAAAGGGCGGCAATTGGTGGCAGGGATTATCCTACAGAACGCATAACCCCACGGACGCGTGGATCGAGTAGACAGAATTACTACCGCTGCATATTGCGTGACATAAGAACAAGGCTGATGCCCACGTTCAACCAGAAGGCCCGTGTGTAGTATTAGCATCAACCCTAATTGATTGGTCACAACGGGCTTGATAAATAGTGCTTAGACAATCAGGAGATAAAAGTGTCTGGCGATACTGGATCAGCTGTGGTACGCTGAGTCAGAATTGACTGGAACATGTTCCATTGAAGCATTACTGAATTTCATGAAATTTAGGACCAGCAAACCTGCCAGTGGAATAGAGCCTGAGGCCTAGATCTATGCAAATGATCTGGGTATAGCCCGTTGGACTTGCAATCCCGTGAGCGTAAAAGCATGTGATACGCAAAAAACCGCCTCCGTTTTCGTTGCCTCATTAAATAACAACCGATCCTTCACACGCCTCCCCCAGCAATACGCCTTTATACTCACTTGTATGCCCTGGATTGCCCGTTGGCACTGGTTTATGGAAAAATCTACTAACGTGGTATTCTCAGTTTAAAGTGTCCTCGTGTCTCCGCAACTGTCCCCTCAGATATGACGTACTCGCTCTAAAACTCTCCGATCAAGAGTCCATGGGGTCATGGCCGCTTCGCAGAACCATGAGGAGGAGAGATTACCTCTCCCTAATAATCTAATCCAATCCGATTCATTTCTCTCGGACAGTCTCCGAAATTCTTCCCGGTCGCCGCACCCCTACCATCGCAAGGGCTCCAAACGTCCCGAACCGCATTTGCTACCTACCGATGGCGGTGATCGACCAACTCCCAATTCATGGCCTAAAACGTCTAGTGATAGCGGTACCGAGGCAGATGATGAGAGTACAGGAGTTTTAAAAGGACTCCCGGCGCCCCCTCTTCGGCAGCGGAAAGGGCTGCGTTCGGGCTTCAGTGATGCCGCGGAACGTGATTCGTGGTTGCCGTTATTGCAACCGTGGCCCTCACTGGTACGGTCAACGTCCCGGAGCTCACGACAGAGCTCCAGTGAAGACACGGGAACTGGAAGGGTGGGATTACGAGGGAAGGCTGGAAAAAAGCGCATGGAGGTCTTGCGAAGGCTATTAGAGACCGGTCTGCTATTGTCCGTGGGGGCGGTTGTGCTGTCCCAGGAGAATACGAGGTTACTTGCATGGGCTTGGAGGAAAGGTACGTCTGATTGTCCTTGATATGATTGCGAAATTCATTGCTTACCTTTAATCACTTGGTAGAACTGCTTGCTCATGGCCTTCTTGTCACCGGCTTGTACGCGGTGTATCCGCTGAGGAGAAATGGACGCCTACGGTTTTCCGGATTACACACTTTTACCATCCCAAGCAGCTTCGATCCCGCACCCCTTCTTTACCCGATTTTGATACCCATTTACACCTCTTTATCCTTGGCGCACCGTAGCCCTGCGTTGGTACTGCCGAACATCATTCTCAGTCTCTCGTCTTTACCCGCCCCGGTCATTCCACTGCATGAGTGGATGCATGGTCACAGTGTCATCCATTGGTTGGTCACGTTGATACCCATTGTTGTCTCGGAGCACTTTTCAGCCGATCACACGATACCCAAACCTCTCACGCTTCGCGGCCTCAATTCTGAAGTTTTGACTCTTGTTTTTCCGTTGCATCAAGCATTGATACCCACTTTAGATTTCTTATTAACTACCAGTATCCTTCCGGCAGAGCTACAGCTTTTGACGAGTGCTCTTGTGAATCTCTTTTTGTTTGCGAGCTCCCCCCAGGCGGAGATCCTTAAGGCGCTATTGTGGTTGGGCGGCTTGTGCATTTTTATCTCTTGCCGACATGTTCTCCGTTGGGAGGTCGCTCTAGCTAGGATCCCTAGCTGGAAGTTTAGACGGTCGCCCAGTGGTTCTCAGTCACGAAAAAATCTCTTGTATGTTATCGACCATAAACTCTGCCAGAAACTGAGCCGAACGGGCTCCTCCGAAGATGCTTTGTCGGACAGTGAATCCGAGGCTCACATAGCGCCAATATCACGCAGAACAACGCACGAGTTCCGAGAGAAGACTCCAGCTAGAGAACTGGCCGACAAAGCCCCCCAAGAGAACGGCCGTCGGCATGCAGCACATCGAAGGCGACATACCATCTCCAGCGTGGATGAGGTTGCACATTCAGAGCGTATCAGGACCACTCCCAGTGGCCGACGGAAGCGATCGATGGCCCCGGGTCTGGCATCCTTTTTGTCACTGACGGTACCACAAGCACAAGTACGGAAATGGCTTTATGCCCTGTACGTATATTCGGTTGTGGCAATTATCATCATGGGCCCAGTGCGAAAGTATGTGGGCGAACGTGCACTGCATGGAGAGGAGCCCTTTGGGTGGGCTTTGAGCTACCTATTCGGAAATGTGTCCTGGTTCAGGTTCTGGGTGATCATGTGGAACCTGGAGTATTGGATCCCTCTTCCTCCTCGCTTGGACGGTGAAATGTGCTCTCTCGGCTGGATAGAGTGTCTACGACAAACTTCTTTCGGGCAAGCCAACACACGTCTTCTGATTGCTGCTCACTGTATTGCGGTGATTATGATGGGCCTAGGTGTGGTTTTCCAGTTGAGCTCCATCGTAGAAGTGGATACAAGACGCAAGGTTTTCCACGGCATGATGGTGTTGATGTTTCTTCCCACCATTTACATTGATCCTGCATTCTGTGCTCTCGCTCTCGCTCTAGTACTGTCTATATTTCTCCTCCTGGACCTTTTCCGAGCTTCCCAAATGCCGCCAATTTCTCGACCGTTGACTTATTTCCTGGCCCCCTACGTTGACGGCCGTGACCATCGGGGGCCTGTCATCATCTCTCACATCTTTCTTCTTATCGGATGCTCTATTCCACTCTGGCTTTCTTTGGCTGCCATGCCCCGGTCGGAAGATTACCCGTGGGGCGCATGGAACGTTCAGTCCCGGGATGTCAGTATGGTCAGCGGAGTAGTATGCGTCGGTCTTGGAGATGCAGCCGCGTCACTAGTGGGTCGTCGGTTTGGTCGGCGTAAGTGGTTCTGGGGTGGAGGCAAGTCCTTGGAGGGCAGTGTGGCATTTGCGGTGGCCGTGACCGGAGGTCTAGTTTTTGCCCGATTGTGGCTTGCCGGGGGCCAATGGGCTGTGCATGGGAACGATGGGCAGAATCAAATCTTCTGGCCTTGGACGGTGTGCAAAGCCATTCTAGCGGCTGCAGGCACCAGTGCGACCGAAGCGATCTTGACGGGGTGCAATGACAATGTCGTCGTACCGATTGTGCTGTGGCTGCTCGTCAGGGGACTTGGTCTGTGAGGACAGATAGATTACTACTGGGACATGCTTTCTGGATGAAACAGTCCCTGAGAAGCTTATCTGACATGGTTTTGACTTTCTAGATCAAGGAAACTGGGTAGGGGGATTTTGTATTGTATTTCATTCTTGTCCATGGTTTTCTGTCTTTTTTGACGTTTCCTTTTTCCCTCTCTACCATGTGTCGCAAGATTTAGAAGGAAATACTGAGCGGCGTAAATAGTCTGTGCCTTGATGAGTTGGAAAGAGATTCACATGACTAGGATCACGGGGAGATGATGATAATGTATGATTGGTTGAACCCCCTTAGGCAGCTTTCTACGATTCGTCAACGACGTTGCTGATCGCCTCTTTAGTGGACGCCAACGTATCTAACGCGTCTCCACTTTGGTCTTATCGATGATTCGGCAGATCAAATCTTCAGTCATTCAGTGGCAAACCGGGCGCTTGTGGACAGGAAGGCTATCATCAGATGAGTCATTCACTCCGGTGATGAAGAAGAAGATGATGAATAACCAGGAAGTTGCAGGTCATTGTGAAATGATGGACCACTAGGTCAACTTTGTAGAGCAGTGTAGATGTCATGAACAAGGTCGTCTGCTTAAGTTGTACGGAGGACTTGGCGGCAGTATTGAAGCGCTAACGTGATAAAATAACCTCCGGAATGATCCTGTGATCCTGTGATCTTCCGGCCTCAGGCCACTGCTGGATTAGGTTCCCATTTCTGAGACACCCTGGTTCTTCTATCTTCGTCATTCTTTCTGGATCTTCCATCATTTTACTGTACAGTCGCCTTCAGGAATCTGACCATTCTCCTCTCAGTCATCTCTGTCATTCCAGTAACTAACCTTGTTCCTGTTTTGGGTATTCATCTGGATTGGTTCCCGATTGTCTCCAAAAGCCATCGCCGCCCTTCTGACCGCCTTGCTTCCCACTGGTCCCCAATAGATCGTTATCGCATAACTACTAGTACTAGGGTAGTTTAGCAACTGGTACTTTTCCCCAAAGACGAGATCGTCAAACGTTCCTTGGGTCTACTGCTTGTCACCCGCCCTGGCCTCATCACATCATCCTCCACTGATACGCCAGAGCCAGTACTTCTCTCCTTTTCTTCTGTCCATTTGCCTCGATTTGACACTCTCCTTTTCCTCTGATCTTCCACCATTTTGCGTTTTCTCACATCGACGCTTGTACCACCTTCTATAGAGTGTTATCGGGGATAATCCCGACCATCATCGACCTTGATCAACATCCTTGGCTACCTCCTGCAGCTATCGCCTTCCTATCAGCGTAGAGCACCCGTTTCCGCCTCACCGCTCTCGTACGCCTGTATACTGCTCCCATCCTTGTCGTTGCTGCTCACCTCGACACTTCTCCTTCTCAGCGACTTGGTCCACTTTCTGTCGTTTCGGTCCTTGACGTCCGATAGCCCGTCCATCATCTCCTCCCTCGTTCCACGGCTCCCGGCTTCTGCTTTCCTTCTACATACCTTTCTCCGCCCTTTGCCCCAGCCTTATCTTATTCTTGATTGCTCCCTATCGACCAGCCCTCGGGACATCATCTCTTCCTTCCCCTGATGGGCCACTTCCATCATCAATCGTTGTTGCTGCCGTTGCTGAGGTAGTTGTGTGGCCGTCGGGGCGTGGTTGGTTTTTTGTAGACGCTTGTCTTAGGGCGTTATCGTCGCCCTGTTTGCAGTATGTCGTCTTCACACCACAGGAGGTCCAGGGAGACCTCCCATGCCGAGATGCCCATTGGCCGTTATACTAGATTGGATGAGATTGGCCGAGGGAGTTTTGCTACAGTCTATCAGGGTGTCCATACGGTAAGTCTAGATTCGTTAAGGTTCATTAGGTCTCTTTAGGTGGAGCTATAACGGGGGGCTAATGCTAATTACTTTTGGGCTTCTAGAAATCACGTACATACGTCGCCATCAAGTCCGTCAACCTCTCCAAATTGAATAAGAAGCTAAAAGAGAACCTTTCCTCGGAGATTCATATCCTGAAAGGGCTATACCATCCACACATCGTTGCCCTCATTGACTGCCATGAGACGACTTCACACATCCACCTGGTGATGGAATACTGTGCCTTGGGAGATCTGTCACTGTTCATCAAGCGCCGAGATACACTCGGGGACCATCGATATACGCAGGACATGATTGCGAAGTATCCGAACCCCCGTGGCGGCGCACTGAATGAAGTGGTCGTCCGCCATTTCCTCAAGCAGCTGGCAAGCGCCTTGAAATTTCTACGAGATCGAAACTTGATCCACCGTGACATTAAACCACAAAATCTTCTACTGTGTCCGTCTCCGTCATCATACCGGAGTGGCGCGGCCCAGGTCGTGCCGTTCAAAGGGTGTGAAGAATCCTTTAGCCCTGCAACGGGACTGGAATCTTTACCAATGCTCAAGATTGCGGATTTCGGGTTTGCTCGGTCTCTTCCGTCGACATCGCTTGCGGAAACATTGTGTGGCTCCCCTCTGTATATGGCTCCCGAAATCCTGCGGTACGAGAAGTACGACGCTAAAGCAGATCTTTGGTCTGTGGGCACCGTGCTCTATGAGATGGTGGTGGGAAAACCTCCTTTTCGGGCAACGAACCATGTGGAGCTACTTCGAAAGATTGAGAAAGGAGAGGACAGGATCAAGTTCCCCGAGGAGAATCCTGCCTCGGATCAAATAAAGTCCCTGATTCGAATGCTACTGAAGCGGAATCCCGTGGAACGTATGAATTTTTCCGATTTCTTCGATTGCGACACTATCACAGGACCTATCCCGGGGTTAATAGCTGATGATGCTCCATCGACGTCCCGCCGTTCATCGGTCGCGGTGGACACTACCGGATCGACATCTCGTCCCCAGTCTCGAACGGGGTCAAGGACCCCCACCGGGATGAAACGTGAGAAAGATGCCTCGTATCCCGGAAAAAAGGATGATCTGGAATCATACCCAGCTGCTCATCGATCTCCCGCGCAGAGGTCGGACACTCCGCCGGCTTCCTCATCCCCTATGCGTAGGATGGAAAGTGTGGACCGGCCGACTACATCTAAAGAACCGGCAACCGCGACACCTCAGCGACCGAGTGCGGTGTCCCTTGCCACGGCTCCCGGTCGTCAGGAGCTTGTAGATCGAAACGCTACGGCCGCTGTAATGGAGCGGCAGAGGAGCCGAAATACCTACGCGGGCATACCACAAACCGAGAAGCAAGCCGAGAAAACGAAAGAGGAAAGTGAGCGCGCGGCACAAGAAGTTGCGTTTGAGAGAGACTATGTGCTCGTAGAGAAACGTGCTGTGGAGGTGAACGCTTTTGCAGATGAGTTGGCACATAGTCCTCGGATCCAAGGTGGCTTCCCCAGGAACGCCTATGCCCTATCGCGTCGTCCAGGCACCCAAGGCTCGTCCACAGCGACAGCTACGTCACCCTTGGCTACTACAGGTAAAGCAATGCAGGTTGCTTCTGGACGAGCTCGGGCTGATTCGACGCACACTCGTCAAGGTTCCTACGAGCGTCGATACGGCCAGAGTCCTACGTCCGCCATCTCAAAAGCACTCCACATGGCTAGCGGACGCTTGTTTGGGATGGGCTTCTCGCCACCCATGACTATTACGAAAGGAGGGCGCTCTCCCCCACTGGGCTACAACCCCTTCCCGGCGTATCCGGCGGCGCAAGGTAGCTTGATGGTTGTCGGGGATGGAGCAAGGACCAACGTGACCCTAGATGAGGACGCGAAGACCGTCCAAGTGATCGAGGAGTGTGCCACGCGAAGTGACGTGGTGTACGGCTTCGCTGAGGTCAAGTACAAGCAACTCATCCCACTGGCACCATCCGTTCAAACGGACCCTTCGGGAAGGGCTAATGTGCCCGGCGGGGAGCGGGATCCTACCGATCTGACGGATGGTGGGCTCACAGTTGATGCCGTTGTAACGTTGTCCGAGGAAGCCCTCGTTCTCTACGTCAAAGCACTTTCTTTGTTGGCAAAATCGATGGATATCGCTGGCGCTTGGTGGACTCGGAAGAACCGTGGAGAAGCCTTTGGCGAATCGGCCATGGGGAGGACGGACGCCACAAGCACGCTTGTCAGCAACCGGATTAACAATGTCGTACAATGGGTGCGAAACCGTTTCAATGAGGTGTTGGAAAAGGCAGAATTTGTTCGTCTGAAGTTAATCGAGGGCCAGAAACGCTTGCCACAAGATCACCCCAGTCATCCCAGTAATCACTCCATCGGCTCCTCCGTCGGCGCCGGCGCATCTACGGATGTTGTCGTGAGTTCGGGTGTAACGGCGGAGAAGCTAATGTATGATCGGGCACTAGAGATGAGTCGGGCAGCCGCCATCAATGAACTTACGGGCGAGGACCTTTCCGGGTGCGAGATAGCGTATGTCACAGCCATTCGGATGTTGGAAGCTGTACTAGAGGAAGAAGAGGTATCCCGGTCTGGGCCAGGAAGCGGCACCGACAAAGGCGATGCTCGGCGAGATAGTGACAAAGTCATGTTGGATGGCGTACGGGTGGAAGACCGACAAGTGGTGATGAAATGTGAGTTATCCCGCGCACATAATGGGTAAATTTCTCTTCTGACGGGTCATGCAGTGGTGTCCAGCATCAGGGGTCGCTTGGCATCCCTGCGCAAGAAACTCGCCCTGTTGGCAAAGCGGCAGAGCCCACCTTCTAGCGTTCCTGGCAAAGTGGCTCCGTCCAGTCTGGTGCCTGCTGCTCAGGCCGTCTCAACAACGCCCAGATAGAACATGGAACTTCTAATCTCATGCATGCAGGTACATGCTACATCAAGATATAGTTCCTTTCTCTTCGGTATTTTCATTTCTCCTGCATTCTATCTCCTTTTTATATCTAATCAATCCGTGTGCGAGTTCATATATGGCGCTTTATGTTGAAGACTTGTCAGCGCTTTTTTTTTTTTTGAGAATGGCTTCCTTTTCAGAAAAGGTTTGCCTCTGAACGACGTCACACATTCCAACGGTTGTCAGTGGCTATGTGAACATGTCCGGAGAAATTTCCTAAAAGAATCCTAATTATAGAACCAAGTGGTTTTTTCTTTTCTTTTTTCTTTTCGTATTTTCTACGTCCTTGCAGCTTCGATGTTCATTGTCACGAGAAAGTAGTCTATCTTTATACTGCTTTGATTTGGCGTTTGAGGTGGGAGAAGTATACAAATTGCCACAACTTGGATATGAATGATGAAGCTACGGCTTGGGAGTCTGGGTGGGCGCAGGATTGAAATTTTTCTTGATTTGAACAGAGACCATTACCAGACCACTTTTGTATTGTACATAATTAATTGAACGAAAATTCTTTTGCACACGATTTCCTGTTTTTCTTTTTCTTTCTGAGGCTTTTTTTTGTACTGTTTCAACTAACTGCGGATACCTTGACTCATTAGGCCGAGCGTTGGATATAGAGCTGGGAAATAATGACGATCTAGGCCTAATTGCATCAAGAATAGCGGATCTTCCGCAAGCGAAAACCCTCACGGGCGCCGAGGCTATCACGCCATCGATTTCTTTTTGTCACGAAAAAGGGTTCATAACGATTGAGAGCTCTGGATCTCGTGGATATGTGGATCTTCCCTCGGTTTGGCTCCGCTGCAGAACCAAACTTTTTTTTTTTGCCCTTTTTCGCCTTCATAAAATTAATTGCGTTATGGGCTCAACCATGTGGCACTCACGTCTAAATTTTTTAAATTTTTTTTTTTATTTCTCTGCGCCATCTGTTAATGATATCTTTCGTTTAGCTCAATTTCTTTCTTTTAATCATTCTTATATGCATATTTGACGGAGAGAGCTTAAATCTCCCGGTCATAAGATACCCTGATTCAATCCCTGTCAGCATTGCACCTTTTTCGCTCTTTCTTACGAGGTTGCATGGTCTTTATAATATAAGACTTTTTTTCCTTTTTAGGCGGTTGCCAACACCAGCCTCGACGCACCGGCCTGATTGCATCAGATTTAGGCCCAGCACATCATCACATCTCGTGGTGTACGTCCGTCGTTAACCGCTGGATCTGCTCAATATAATCCTTTCGTTCGCCCGCTTTCTTCTCCATAGCTTCTAGAGCTTCTGTGGAGAACATTCTTGAGCTTTAGGCTAAAATTTCCGCATTACTATGAGCGATTCAGCTTCGAAATCCGCGAAGGGAGTCATGCCGGACACAAAGGCCCTGGAAGAAGGGCCCCGGAGGACTGATGGTGTCTCTCAGCTATGTATGTATTATGATCGACCTTGATTTATTGGAAGTCATGATCTAACTATACCGTGCAGATGAGGGTAATGTCTTCGATGCAACACCAGAAGACCGCCGTCAAATTGGCGTGGTCAGCGCCTCGTTCCTGATCTTCAACAGAGTCATTGGAACTGGTATCTTTGCTACGCCAAGTACTATCCTGTCGTTGTCCGGTAGTGTTGGACTTTCCCTGTTCATGTGGGTGATTGGCACCATCATTGCCATGGCCGGTACCGCCGTGTACCTGGAATGGGGTACCGCTATTCCAAAGTACGTTAACTACCGTCCTGAAATAATTTTCCATTGAGATCAGTCGGACTAACTATGCCCAGGAACGGTGGTGAAAAGAACTATCTTGAATATGTCTTCAAGAAGCCCAAGTTCCTCATAACATGCATGTATGCTTCTTACGTCATGTTGCTTGGCTGGGCTGCGAGCAACAGTGTGGTGTTCGGCGAGTACATCCTCAATGCCGCTGATGTCGAGGTTGACCGTTGGAACCAACGTGGCATTGGTTTGGCCTGTATCTCTGCTGCCTTCCTCATTCATGCCTTCGCCTTGAAATGGGGTCTTCATCTCCAAAACTTCCTTGGTGTGGTCAAGCTTGTCATCATCGTGTTCGTCGTCGTTTGTGGCTTTGTTGCCCTCGGGGGTCATATGAAGATCGAGGACCACCCTCATAACTTCCGCAACGCCTTTGAGGGCACAACGAATAGCGGTTATGGAATCGTGATGTCGCTATATAACGTTATCTGGTCATTCATCGGCTACTCGAATGCCAACTATGTAAGTAATGCCGACTAGTATCGCACGACGCCATTTTCTAACTAGTCGCAGGCTTTGAGTGAGACCAAGAACCCCACACGCACATTGAAGATCGCCGCGCCAATCGCCATTGGATCCGTTGGAGTTCTTTACATGCTCTGCAACATCGCCTATTTCGCCGCCGTGCCCCGAGAACAATTTCTTAGTTCCGGCCAGACTGTCGCCGCCGTCTTTTTCGGTAACATGTTTGGCCCGCGGGCGGAGAAAGTTATGTCGGTCTTCGTCGCCTTGTCGGCATTTGGCAATGTCTTGTCGGTGATCTTCTCACAAGGTCGAATCGTCCAAGAGCTGGGACGTGAGGGTGTCCTGCCTCTCTCGAAGTTTTTCGCTAGCAACAAGCCATTCAACGCGCCGGCCGCTGGTCTGTTTGAGCACTACATCGTCTCGATTATCATCTTGTTGGCCCCTCCTCCAGGAGACGCTTATAACTTCTTGGTCAACCTTATTTCGTACCCGCTCGCCATCATCAACGTCTTTGTATCTGGCGGCCTCGTTTATGTTTACTTCACCCACAAGACGAAGTTCCCCGACTGGAACCCCGGTATCCGCGCGACACTTCCTGTGACCATCTTCTTCTGCCTGTCCAATATGTATCTGGTGGTGGCACCGTACGTGCCCCCAAGTGCCGGACAGAGCGTCTACGAGGAACTCCCATACTACCTGCACTGCGTGGTGGCCCTGGGCATCTTCGCAGCCGGTGGAATCTATTACCTCGTGTGGGCCGTCTTGCTTCCACGCTTGGGCAACTATGTGATGGTCAAGGAAACCGTGGTGGATGCGGACGGCTGGTCTCGGAGTGTTATCTCGCGTCTCCCGTTGGCCGAAGCCGAATCCGCAGCGAGACAAGAGCACTCCTAAGATTGTTTAGGGCAACCTGGACATGATTTATGAGTTCAAGATTCAACATCATTATTTTCAAGCGTAATCATAATGTTTACAGCGGAGCATTTGTTTGGAGTTGGGAATTTCTGGGGATTTTTTGATTTTGCACATTTGGTTTGGTCAACAAAGTTATACCCCGGTTCAACATGTTACGGATACCACTTCGATTCTTAATAGTATAGATCTATATATAGAGATATGAAAAATTTCGATTACTTTCAATAATAGACTTTTTTGGAAGAGATTTATGTGTCCCAGTCATCTATGGAAGCCCATGCACAAAGGGATGCAAAAAAAAAATTTGCAGTCATGGACCCCTCAAACTGGCTGGTGTACGGTCTTGCAAGTACTGCCCTCGAGAGGGCAGCTCGACAACGATCTGCCTGTGGGGGGAAAACATGGCATTTGCTGTATGTGAGTATTACTTGCTGAAAGAATGTATATGTATGAGGGTCTGTTAGACCAAGGCAGCGTCGTGAGAAATTTATAGCAGAAAAATAACGGAACAATTGTAATTCCGCCACTAGATTGGGCAACAAGCTGGACAAGGACGAGCAACCGATTGGCCAGAGGCGAACGGGAGGCGAGACTCACCGCCTGCCGCTAGGGGCCAACCGCCGGTGGTTTTCTCTGGATGTGCAAATCAACACTTCGCGTTTTCCATTGTCTCCATACTAGTAGTCTGATTGTTTACTAGTAGGTGGGAGGTATTGTTGTCTGATTAGTTCATTGGGAACTACTACCCCTCTTCCACCCTTTCCACCCTTTCTCTTATCCTTTCCCTTCCATTCAGCGGGGCGGCATGCGTCGCTTCTCTTCTACGCGGTTACCGCCGCTGGTACTAAACTCAGCGAAGAAGCCACCGCTTTCCTTCCCCTCCAGAAGTCCCCTCCTCTTCTCTCGTTCCTTATCTGTCCCCTCTTCTACGACTGCTACTTCTTCTCCCTCCTCCACCTCATCGCCCTCCGCCAACCGCTTATCCTCCCGCCGTTCTCCCCTTTCTCAAATCTCCAAGCGTTACTGCTCCTATCGCAGGATGTGTCGTCGTGCTGACGTGCCTTCGGGCTCGACGAACATCACCCATGGCCGTGAGGTCCTGCCCACCAATGTCAAGCCGGTCCATTATGACCTGACCTTGGAGCCGAACTTCGAGTCTTTCAAATATGAGGGCACCGTTGTGATCGAGTATGTATCCATGTGATATAACATCTGTCCGTGATCCAAGCTCATGGTTAGCGTAGCCTCCAGGTCACCGAAGACACCACTTCCATTTCCCTCAACTCCAACGAGATCGACATCCACAGTGCCATCGTCTCCGCTCAGGGCTCCGTCGTCACCTCCAGCCCGGAGATCTCCATCAACAAGGATAACCAGGTAGCTACCGTCAAGTTCGCCGAGACGATTCCCGCCGGATCCTCCGCTCAGCTGAAGCTCACCTTCACCGGCATCCTCAATGACAATATGGCCGGTTTCTACCGGTCGTCCTACAAGACAAAAGACGGTGAGACCAAATATCTTGCTTCGACGCAGATGGAGCCCACGGATGCCCGCAGAGCGTTCCCCTGCTTCGACGAACCTGCCCTCAAGGCCAAGTTCACTGTGACTTTGATCGCTGACAAGAGCATGACCTGCCTGAGCAACATGGACGTTGCATCGGAGACTGATGCCGAGGGCGGCAAGAAGGTCGTCAAGTTCAACACTTCCCCGCTCATGTCCACTTACCTGGTGGCTTTCATTGTCGGCCATCTGAACTACATTGAGACGAAGGACTTCCGTGTCCCCATCCGTGTGTATGCTACTCCGGATCAGGATATTGAGCATGGTCGCTTCTCGTTGGATCTGGCCGCTAAGACACTGGCGTTCTACGAGAAGGCTTTTGATAACTCTTTCCCTCTCCCTAAGATGGACATGGTCGCCGTGCCGGACTTCAGTGCAGGCGCCATGGAGAACTGGGGTCTGATCACCTATCGTATCGTCGATGTGCTCTTGGACGAGAAGAACAGCGGTGCTTCGCGCAAGGAGCGTATTGCCGAGGTTGTTCAGCACGAATTGGCCCACCAGTGGTTCGGAAATCTTGTCACCATGGATTTCTGGGATGGTCTTTGGCTCAACGAAGGCTTTGCCACCTGGATGTCGTGGTACTCTTGCAACAGCTTCTTCCCCGAGTGGAAGGTCTGGCAGACTTACGTCATCGACAGCTTGCAGGGCGCGCTTTCCCTCGACTCTCTGCGTAGTAGCCACCCTATCGAGGTGCCTGTCAAGCGTGCCGACGAGATCAACCAGATCTTCGATGCCATTTCCTACATGAAGGGTTCCTCTGTCCTGCGTATGATCTCTAAGTACCTGGGAGAGGATGTTTTCATCCAGGGTGTCCGCAACTACATCAAGAAGCACGCTTATGGAAACACCCAGACTGGTGACCTGTGGGCTGCTCTCGCTGACGCAAGTGGAAAGCCTGTGGAGCAGGTCATGGACATCTGGACCAAGAATGTCGGATTCCCTGTGGTCACTGTGGCCGAGGATGCTGCCAGCTCGTCGATCAAGTTGACCCAGAACCGCTTCCTGCGTACTGGTGATGTCCGCCCAGAAGAGGACACTACTCTTTACCCTGTCATGTTGGGCTTGCGTACCAAGCAAGGTCTTGATGAAAACACCATGTTGACTGAGCGTGAGGGCCAGTTCAAGGTTCCGGACCTTGATTTCTACAAGCTGAACGCTGACCATTCTGCTATCTATCGCACCTCCTATACCCCTGAACGGCTCACTAAGCTCGGTGAGGCGGCCAAGCAGGGCCTGCTGACGGTCGAAGACCGTGCCGGTATGATTGCAGATGCTGGTGCCCTCGCTTCGTCTGGCTACCAGAGCACCTCTGGTTTGCTCTCGCTCCTCAAGGGCTTTGACAACGAATCGGAGTTTATCGTGTGGAATGAGATCGTGGCCCGCGTTGGCACTCTCCGGGCCGCATGGCTCTTCGAGGATATCCAAGCTAGGGATGCCCTGAAGGCGTTCCAGCGCGCTTTGGTCAGCTGCAAGACTCACGAGATTGGCTGGGAATTCTCAGAGAAGGACGGCCACATCCTGCAGCAGTTCAAGGCGCTCTTGTTCAGCGCTGCCGGCTCGGCCGAGGATCCAGTTGTCGTCAAGGCTGCCCAGGAGATGTTCCAACGCTTTGCTGCGGGCGAAACCAGCGCCATCCATCCCAACATCCGCGGTAGCGTTTTCAGCATTGTTCTGAAGAACGGTGGCGAGAAGGAGTACAATGTCGTGTACGACCGATTCCGCAACGCTCCTACTTCTGATGAGAAGACCACGGCTCTTCGCTGCCTCGGCTCTGCTGAAGACCCGGCTCTCATCCAACGTACTCTGGGTCTTGCCCTCAGTGATGAAGTTAAGAACCAGGATATCTACATGCCTCTTGGCGGTCTGCGCAACCACACAGCCGGTATTGAGGCTCGCTGGGCTTGGATGAAGAACAACTGGGATGCACTCTACAAGCGTCTGCCTCCGGGACTTGGTATGCTGGGCACTGTTGTTCAACTCACTACTTCCAGCTTCTGCACCGAGTCGCAGTTGAAGGAGGTGGAGGACTTCTTCAAGGACAAGGATACTAAGGTAAGTTCGAATTGTACATGGCGCCTATTATCAGTGACTAACACCCCTTTAGGGCTTTGATCGTGCTGTTGAGCAGAGTCTTGATGCCATCCGGGCCAAGATCAACTGGATCAACCGTGACCGCGCTGACGTGGAATCTTGGCTGAAGTCGAATGCCTATCTCCGCGATGGCAAGCTGTGAGGGATAACATACCAGCAAGTATGCAATAATGAATTGAGTGTGGGATGACGGACATGTTAAGGACTGCTGGTCCTGGCACAAATCATTGCATCACGCCTAACTGGGTTAATGATTCAAAATCTGCGGATCAGATTCCTATGTATACTAGAAAATACCATTCAGCTCTCTACCGAGTACATACAACGTTGAGTATACATAATATGGAAATTATTTGATAATCAAGCCCTGTTCGATCTCGATGGAACTAATATAATACGAGAGGAATGGAAAACCTTCCTTCAAATTTTGATATCATATGGACATTAACACCCGGCATTAGACTATCACCATCCACCCTTTGACCCGAACGCAGAGTTGTCATCATTCTTCTTCGAAAACCCGCGCGTAGGTTTCGATTGTGCAGCTTCATGCTTGCGCAGTTCCTCCGGTAGTCGAGAGATGGGTGATTTGATGAGCATCTGCTTGAGGTCGTACCTATAAATCCATTAACATACCCGCCCGATACCACCAATATCAATAGAAGGAGAGAATGGAAAACATACATAACATCCGTATCCTCATTACCCAAGAAAGTAATAGCCACACCACTCTTACCTGCACGACCGGTACGACCGATACGATGAGTGTAGCTCTCAATCGTGGTCGCCATGTTAAAGTTGATAACCAGACTGACGTCAGGAACATCGATACCTCTCCCAGCCAGATCGGTAGCGACCAGAACATCCGTTTGGCCGTTCCGTACGGACGCCAGGGCAGCTTCACGCTGTTCCTGGGTCTTACTTCCGTGCAAGGTAACAGAGGAGAAGCCCCATTGTTTGATTTCGCGGGCGATAGCATCACAGTTCCGCTTGATGTTGACGAAGACGATGATCGGCGGCCGGAATTCGCCGGACGAGAGAATATCGCCCAGGCGTTTCTTGCGCTTGTCTTCGCCTGCGATGAACTCGACGCGCTGTTCGACGGTGTCGACGGCTTCGCCAGCGCTACCAATTGTGACGATGGCTGGGCGACGGAGGTATTTGCGGGCGATACGTTCCACAGCTGTGGGCATTGTCGCTGTGTACATCATTGTTTGGCGGTAACGGTCTTTTGAGCCAATATGTTGGCTCATGGCCATTGAGTTCTCGGCTTCCTCGCTGTCGGGCTTTTCGTTGGAGACGGGAAGGGCGTCGAGGATCTTGTTGACAGGTTCTTCGAAACCTAGGTCGATCATACGATCTGCTTCGTCCATGATGACGTAGCAACATTGGCTGAGGACTAGCATGCGGCGTTCGATGCAGTCGACTAGACGACCAGGGGTGGCGATGATGATTTCTGCACCGTTGCGGAGACTGTAGGCTTGTTCTTCGAAGGAGTGACCTCCGACTATACTGACAACGTTGAAGCC